AAAGAGAGAGAGAGCGCAGCTCATGATAATTGGTAAAGGGGAAATATTGGTGTACACTTGCAAAAGCTCACTGCTAAGATAATGCGAGAGCAGGTTAGACGAGTCGCAGTGCTGCCCATTTAGCTAGCTAAAAGCTAGATCTACATAATCAGCATTAAAAATAAACAATTTTGCAACTTTTGGCATTCTTTTTGTTTAGTAAATGAAAGCATGCTCTCTTTTCAAGTATATAATGAATTCTTTTCGGCTATTTATAGCCAATAATTGTTATTGTGTATTTGACTATTTAAGCCTTTTGCTTTTAACGGGTCACGCTCTCGAAGAGCGTATAGTGTGGTTATGGTCTGCCGAATGGGTTCAGGGTATTCATGGTGTATGCATCCATATCCTTTTTTCTTCATTTGATATGTATGTAGGTAGGTGTGTGAGTGGCGAGGGTAGGGGGGATGGGGTCTGCCGTGTATCTGGCTGGCTTCGTGCCGTGGCTGCATTTGGTTTGCCTTTGCCGGGCGCCTTTGCTGCTGCTTCAATATTTTTTTTACGTGCATGTGTAATCAACAGACAGATAGTAAGTAAGTATTTATAAGTATGTACGTTAGTAATACGCATGCGAGTGTGTGCGAGTGTGTGCTTAAAAAATTGCACAAAGTTTAAGCCAGCGCCAGTGTAAGTGTGTGTGTGTGTGTGTGTGTGTGTCAGTCTCGGCGCTGTTTAACTCAGTCATAGAACTGTTGCTGAAGTCACGTAATTCAAATAACTAAAGTTGGCGTAAATATGCCAAGCATACAGCAGCAGCGCGAACTTACACACAAACACACACGCGCACACACACACACACATCTGCACACAGACTAACGCCCTTACTGCCAAACACAATTGCATAGCTCTTGTTGTTGTTGTTGTTTTTACTCAGCGCTGATAGATAGATAAAGAGAGAGAGAGAGAGAGAGAGACGGGGGAGTGGGTGAGCTTAGTGTGTGCCATTGCCGCTTTAAGCGTGTTAATTTTGTAATTTGTATTAAGCTCGCTCGCTTTTAATTGGCCAATCAGCGAGCGGGCATAAAGCACTGCAAATGCGCGCAAGTGCTGCCAGCGGTAAATCGCAAACGGCTCAAGCACGCCAGCCAATTAGCTGCTCGGCCAATTAATGTTACTTAACATTTCACTGAGAGCGCCGCGCACAAGATGGCCGCTCGCTGCACTCACTCACACACACACACACACACACACACACACACAGGCATGTGCTTACATATGTATATGCATATGTATGTGTATGTGTATGTGTGTGAATATGCATTGAGGCAAACGAATATAATTTGCTTTTGCTTGTTTTTGATGCAAATGTCTGCATTTGTTTGATTTAATGCAATTTGCGCTTGTCAAACTTTTTAGTTATTTGCGCAGTCGCTTTGCTCTCCCTCTCCACCTGCTTGTCGCTCTTTGACATTTGTCCACCTGTCAGCAGCTTACGGCGTTGCCACATTGTGCAGACACTTAACATTCTTGACATCTTGACAGCTGTTATTGTTGCTGTTGCTGTTGTTGTTGTTGTTCTTGCTGATTATGATCTTAACAGCAGCTGCAAGTGACTGCCGCTGCCGGCGTCTCTGCCGCAGCCGCTGCCGCTGCCTGCGTCACTGCAATGCCTTGTGTTATGGAGTTTGATTTATGTGCTTGTGCATGTTTTGTGATATTTATCATGCCAACAGCTCTTCATTAATTAGTTAAAAGCGTTCACTAGCTCATCAAAATACTCGCCTTACCGCACGCTGTGCTTGACAGCTTACCGTTGCTTGGCAGTGTTGCCACCTGGGACTTGAAATTATGTTAATAGCTCGAAGTATTTCAACTTACACATTTTCTGGCTTGAAGCCCGTTAAAAAAGCTAGCCTTAGCTAGTTAAAAGCTGCTTTTAAATTTAAGTTTTGTTTAGTTGGGCAACACTTGCAGCATAGTTTAACAGTTATTTAGTTAGTTACCAGCTCATTTTAGTTTGCTTTAGCTATTTATAGCATTTTTCAGCTGTAAATATAGCTACTTTTGGCATTTACATCTGGCAACTCTGTGCCTCGGCCGCAAGGCATTATAATATAATCCGTTACGCCCACTTTAGGGCGTACTAATGACTTATCTGGCAACGCTTAAGGAAATGATTTTAAAGCTATCTTAGCACAGTTTAGCGGGCACTTAAGCCGCCGCCGCAGCCGCTGCCGCTGCCTCTGCCGCTGCTCTGCCGCTGGCACAGACGCCATTTTGTAATTAGCCGCATTACAAGCAGCACTTGCTGAGATTTAACGGGCTACTTTATATGTTAATGAGTTTTCTTGCCTTTGTCTTGTCTCGCCTCTTCAGTGTGGACATGAGCCTCGCGCTTGCAATTCAATTTTAACAGCGGCCACGCCCCACTCGCCGCCCTAGCAGCCGCTTTAAGTTGCATAATATGCAAGTGGGCTGGGCAGCCGTTTCTTATTTTCTTGTTCGTTGCCTTTTTCTTTTTTTTTTTCGTTTTGGCAAAGTTCAAATTGCATTTGGCCAAAAATGCAAAAGCAAAAGAATAACACAGCAGCGCAAAGGAAAATGGCAAAACCCATTGACAGACGTGCCCACGGGTTAAGGGAGGGAGCAAGGTGAAGGGGAGGGGGGGAGGGGGGGGGGCTGGTTGGCAATGCAAACAGCAAAGCACAAACGGCAGCTCGTATGTGCTCTATCTCGCTCGCACTCCCAACTGTGCATGGTGCATGTGTGCATGTGTGTGTGTGTGTGCGAACAACATTTTCTTATCTAAACAATATTTGGCGGGGCCAACGACAACGTTTTTCTCTAGCTGATTGAACAAAGTTTGTTGCCACTCATTGTCCTTGTTGTTGTTGTTGTTGTTGCAGTTGTTGCAGTTGTTGCAGTTGTTATTGTTATTGTTTGCTTTTCGACTAGCGCAAAAATTGTTTCTGATAAAGCTCAGCGGCCAGCAGGAAGGATGCCAGCTTTTTTTTTTTTAAATATACTTTCTGTAGCTGTCCAATGCTGTAAGCGACATCTGCCGACATAAATATGCACTAAAATGTTTATTATCTTGTCTAAAAACGTTTTTGCATATGTGCGCACACATACACACACACACACATACATATGCATATACATGTGCACGCACACACACACACACACACACACACACACCTATATTCACAAGCAAACGTCTCACGGTTTGAGCAGCACTGCTGCCTGCTGCTGACAGAGTTGGACAGTTTGAGCAGCCAACAAAGTTAGCGAGGGGGGGGGGGGGGGGTGACAGCAATAAAGTATGCAACATTTGCTAACGTGTATTTGCAAAGCAATTGGTTTACAGTTTGAGTAGCACTCGCTGGCATTGTGGCGTTGCATAAGAGATCAAAATGCAAATACAAAATGACGCCTGTTTTTTAGATCTATTTTCTGTTATTATTTATTATAATAATAATTATAATAATTTTCAACATTTTTTTCCAGCCGAATTTTCAAAATCGTCGTCAGTTCGAGCATCCTGTTCCTGTCAACTTGGAAAGTGCAATAAAAAGGACGAAAATCCTTCCTGGAGCTGAGGAAATGAGATTTTTGTCTGGGGTAATAAAAGGCTGTAGATCGGCCGTATCCTTGCCGATCATGATGTCCGTTGGCCAACCGTTAGTCCTCATCCACCTAGTTCAGAATATATAATGAAAAGGACGAAAGTCCTTTAGACAGCCAGGATATGAGTACAACTTGGACGTAAATTCACAAAGCCATAACTTGGCCATATCCTTGCGGATCCTGACAAGTCCTGTGTCAAACGAACCGTATTAACAAGGACCATAAACTGTCCAAAGGACAACAAAATCGTCCTTGCCGTTTCCGATTTATGGCTAATTTTCTAAAAAGGACATTTTTCAATTGGCCATAACTCGGCCAAATCCTGAAGGATATCGCCAGGATATGCCTTATTAAACTCGTGGCGGTCAGATCTATCGATTGGCATTCAAGGATTTCCAGGATTCGACCAAAAATTTCATCGAAATTTTTCCTAGGGGTTTAGTCGGAAAATTGGCTAAAGTCGAAAAAATCCGGTCTAACATGGCCATTTGAAGGACTAGCGCGATGTCCTTTGGCCAGCAGATAGTTCTCGGCCTCCCATTAAAGAATTTACAACCCAAAGGACGAAGGTCCTTCAGACAAAAAAGTTTTTAGGACGATTTTGTTGAAAGAAAATAAGCCATAACTCAAGCATATCCTTGCGTATCCTGACAAGTCATATGTCAAAATAATTGTACTGACCAGGACCACCAACTGGCCAAATTTCATAAAGATCGTCCTTGTAGTTTCGGAGATATTCAAGGATTTGTGTTTTCGGGCCATTTTCGTGCGCGCCGGAACAAAAATTTTACAAGTCCAATTTGGAGTCATATGATTCTTAGATGACCCCATATTTTTTTGATGCAGTTCGATGCGGGGCGTCTATACGATCCTAACGCACCATGTCCTTTGAAAATCTGCAAGGATATGGCCGAGTTATGGCCTATTTTCCGTTTTCATATAGTTATTTAAATGTTTAATTTAAATGTGTTCTTAACATTTCAGGATGCCAAATTAAGGACTAAAAGGAGCTCTAAGGACCTCTACGAGTGACAAAGGACATTTTGCCAGGATCGGACCAAAATTAAGCCAGATATAGTTATTTTAAGTTTAAATAAGCTAAAATTGTAATTTATGCTCGATTTGTATAATTTTCAAAGAAATAATTTAGGACATTTGCTAAAAAACAACAATTTTGTAAATAAATCAATAATTTGAAATAAAAATGGGAATTTCCTGTATTTTTATTTAAAAATTCAAAAATCCATTGCATACCCCCAGGGGCGCCCGTTGGGCTGCCGAGATTTTTCTTATTTTTTTTTTTTTTTCGTCTGATTTTCGTTTTTAATGCGTTGGAGATATGTCGTTTTGAAACGACATATCTCCAGCGCTCTGATTTTCGTTTTTAATGCGTTGGAGATATGTCGTTTTGAAGCGACATATCTCCAACATTTGCATTGCATACCCAAAAAGGGCGTCTGGTGGCAGCCGCTGACTGTCGAGATTTTTCTTAAAATCTGCCAAAATACCAGGCGAACATAAATGCCCAGCAGGTCGACGCAGAATATTTTTATCTGCCGAAAAAATTCGTTGCATACCCGCACGGGGCGTCCCCGTCGCCGGCCGGGTGCCAAATTTGCACTAAAATTCCACTCAAATACCAGGCGAACAGAAATGTAGGTCGATGAGTTCTACGAATGAAAAAATTCATTGCATAGCATAAAGGGGCAAAAATGTAACTCAATTTAAATGAGTGCTGTTAAATAGCAGTTGCTGTTAAAAGAGTGCTGTAAGCCGGCTGTTAAACAACAGCTGCAGCTGCAGCTCATGGAAAAGGGCTCCTGTAAGAAAAAGCATACATGTTTTTGGATCATTTCAATGCGCATTTTGCAGGAATCTGACCCTGTAGGTTCGCAAGGACTATATCGATGGTATGCTATGGAACCAAGGATATGCTAGTCAACTGGAAACCATCTTGGGGCCGGGACAGTTGTCCTTTAGGTTCGCTAGGACTATATCCCCGATATGGCATAACCAAGGATATATAGATCAACTAGAAACCATTTGCTGATTAAATGTTGTCCAAGGGCGTGGCTGAAAAGTAGAAAATGAAAAGAAATTAGTTTTTGTAAACGAAATTAAAACGGATTAATTACGTACGACTTGTGGAGCGACATATGTTAACTTTAAGGATTCGTGAGACTCAAAAAATCGACAGAATTCTACAAAATTTAAATACGATTCTGTTCAAGTTCTAACCATGGCATGAAATAACCAAGATCATTCAGTTTCCAAGCCTTACTGAATGTTTTCCTGTCCATGGCAGATTTAGCTGTAAAATTGAAATACAAATAAATTAGTATTCTGTTAGCTATTAATATCGTTTAAATTAAGTCCGACTTCGTTTCGTAAAAGTCTTTAAATGTTGTAACTTTATCTGTTCAAACCTCTGAAGGCAAAAGCTGAAGGCTGGCCAAAGCCTGGGCGCACAGCAAACTGAGCAAGCGACCGTAAACAAAGACACACACCCAAACATATGTATGTGTATGCATGCAGAGAGAATCGCCAAATATGCACATACATACATACATACATACATGCATACATATGTTATGCATGTGCATATATGTATGCGTGTGCATTATCTTCTTCTTATTCATTGCGCTCCCACGAATCTGTTGCGAAATAGAGAGAAAATTAGAGCAAAACGAGAAAAGAGGACTCTTTACGGCGCACCGAAGATTTAATACCCTTGCAGCAGACCACACTGTTTCATAAGCACAGGGAAAATAGTATAGTTAATGCCAGCTAGGGTTAAGATATGATATAGTGGTCCGATCCAGCTGAGAGACTAGTTCGCACATGGAAACAGACAGACAGACATGTATATATATCGACTCGGCTGTGGATACTGATCAAGAATATATACACTTTATGGGATCGGAGATGTTTCCCTCTCTGCGTTACACAATTCACAACAAAATAATAATACCCTCTGCAAGGGTATAATAAACACTTTAACATTTGTGCAAGTCTATAAAATCAATGGACTTCTTTAAATTTCGATGCCATTTTTGTCAAACTTTAGAATATGATTTTGTTTTAACGTCTGTTAATAACATACTTGCGAATTCTCACTTATATTTGTAAAGCAGCTTTACTTAAAATCACGTGAGCAAAAGTCGACGCACAGCAACTCGAATGCAAAAGATAACGGCATAAGCAATAATACTCAAGCATAAGTAGATATCAATTGCGAGCACACACACACACACATGCATGCAGCGAAAGAATCGCCAAATATGTATGTGTATGTGTGTGCATTATCTTCTTATGCATCACGCTCTCACGAATTTGTTGCGAAAAAGAAACATACATATATTTTTTATTAAGCTTTGACTCACATTATATCGCTTTCGCATAAAGTCTGAAAGTCCATTAAATCGATGCACTTGTCCAAAATTTGATTCCATTTTTCTCAAATTTTAGCATAAGCTTATTTTTTGGCTTTTACTACTTGCGACTTGTACAAGTCCGAAAACATATATGTATCATTAGATGTACGAATGGCATTTACTTGAGAATTTGTACTTATAGTTTTTGTAAAACGCGTTTAACTTAAACAAATTCACGTGAACAAAAGCCGACGCACAGCAACTCGAGTAAGCGTAAAGAAAGATAACTCATAAGCAATAATGCACAAGCATAAGTAGATATCAATTGCGAGAGCACACACACACACATATGTATGCAGAGGGAATCGCCAAATATGTATGTGTGTATATGTGTATGTGTATGCATTATCTTCTTATGCATCACGCTCTCACGAATTTGTTGCGAATAGGAAACATATTTTTTGCTGCGCTTCGAACTCACGATGGACTTCTTCAAATTTTGATTTCATTTTTGTCAAGCTTTAGCATACGTTTATTTTATGGCTAGTCCGAAAACGTCACTTATAGTTTTTATAAAACGCGTTTATCTAAAACAAAATCACGCAAAAGCCGACACACAGCAACTCGAGTCAGCGCAAAGAAAGATAACTCATAAGCAATAATACAGAAGCCTAAGTAGATATCAATTACGAGAACACACACTCACACATGTATAAAAAGAGAGAATCGTATGTATCGTATGCATATGTGTATAGATGTGTATGTGCATATTTTTGCATGAACTTCTTATCTTCCTTTGCATCGCGCTCTCACGAACTTATTGCGAAGAGGAAACATATTCTTTGCTAATTTATGGCTAGTCCGAAAACGTCACTTATAGTTTTTATAAAACGCGTTTATCTAAAACAAAATCACGCAAAAGCCGACACACAGCAACTCGAGTCAACGCAAAGAAAGATAACTCATAAGCAATAATGCACAAGCATAAGTAGATATCAATTGCGAGAGCACACACACACATATGTATGCAGAGAGAGCATCACCAAATATGTATGTATGTATATGTATATGTGCATATTGGCATTAACTTCTTATCTTCCTTTGCATCGCGCTCTCACGAATTTGTTGCGAAGAAGAAACGTATTTTTTGCTACTTTATATCCATTTCCATGTCAAACTTTAGTTTGTTTTAATTTTGTTTTTTAATGGCAATTAATACATGTGAGCCGTACATGTCCGAATAAGTGTATATGTATAAATCAATTACGAAAAACACTCACCCAAACACATGTATGGAGCGAGAGAATTGCCAAATCTGTATGTATGTATGTATATGTGTGTGTGCACATTTGCCTTAACTTCTTATCTTCTTATGCATCGCGCTCTACCATGATTTTTTTGCCTAGGAGAAAAATATTTTGTGGTTAACTTAAACTCACATTATATGGATTTCGTGTAAAGTCTGAAATTTTGGATTCCATTTTTGTCCAACTCCAGAATATGACATTTCTTTTTAATTGCAATCAATATGTATGTATGTATGTACTTGCGACCCGTACATGTCCGAATAAGTGTATATGTATGTATAAATCAATTGCAAACAACACTCACCCAAACGTGCATGCATATGTAGAGAATTGCCGAATATGTATGTATGCATATGTGTATTTGCGTGCTGGGGCCTTATCTTCTAATGCATCACATCCACAAAATAATAACGGGCTTGATATGCAGACTAGCGCACGCACCACAACAACATGCCCTGTCGACTAATGGGGCCACACTGACGCAAAGTAAAGTTGCGCAGCTCCATTAAAGCGGCGCTCACAAAAAAGAGCGCTCGCAGTTATTGATTGGACCAATCAGCGATCAGCACCGCAAACAATCGTGAGCGTGTGAGCGTACGCAAATAAATCACAGCGAACACACACACGAACAACTGACTGCTTATCTCTGGCTTACTCGCGTATGTGTATGTGTGTGTGTGTATGCTGAGCAATGTGGCGCATCGTTCTCACTCGAATTCGATCGTTTGTCTATTTTAAGTCACTTACTTTTAAGTCACTCACTCTGTTAGTTTGAGCTTTTATAGCTGCTAACCCGAGGGAAGTCTGCACCTTTAACACGTAAGTTAACTCGAGTGAAAATGTCAGCTTAGAGATAATAATTAATGTTACAAATTATGTTACATCAACGCACGAGTATGTTCATAAATTATTTTAATTGTTTTCTAATTTAAGGTTTGCTCTTGATTTTTTACACAATGACAGTTTGAGCAGCAAAACTGACAAAAAAAAATAGATAAATGTGAATTTTCAAATACAATTGCTCTTTTACGTTTTAAGTTTGGGCAGCACTGTAATTGGCTCAGTGCATTACAGTTTGAGCAGCGTGCGCAAGGGAGATAGCAATATGCAACTGAAGCACAAATTTACAGTTTGGTTTGGTTGTCCGCAGTTTTAGCAGCACTGCAAAGCAGTGTGCGAAAGCAACAGAGAGAGCGAGAGGGAGAGAGAGAGAGAGAGAGAGAGAGGTAGGTAGATCTATGTACATTTACATTGAATTATATATTTACTAATAAATATAAATTTTTGCATTTGTTTGCTTTCAATGAAATTTCCACATTTAAAGTATTTTCTTTTTTATTTGTTTTGTTTTCTTTTTGTTGTTTGGTTTTTCGCACAGCTTTTTGTGTGACGTCAACGAAATTTGCCTGTCAGCCGCAACTAGAAACTAATTTGTATTTATATAAATTATAAACTTAAAGCAGTGTGTTTTACTTTTATTTTGAAATATTTTTCAAAATATTTGTTTAACCCATTTTTCAACGCATTTTTTCCAGCGAGTGCTTGCCGAGCTACTCGTTGAAAGCTTTGCTCGTTACTTTACATATTTTTTCTTTTTGTTATTTTAAAGCTGTTTGGGTTTTTAGTTTTCATTTGTTTTTAGAATAAGTTTTAACATATCTTTTATCCCATTTTTAAAGCATTTTTTCCAGCGAATTGTTTTAGCTCCTTGGAAGCTTTACTCGTTACTTTATAAACTATAAACTTAAAGCAGCTTGGGTTTTATTATAAGTTTGGTTTTTTAAATAATTTTCAATATATTTAGTTCGCCCATTTGCAAAATATTTTTCCAGCGAGTAGCTGGAGCTACTCGTTGAAAGCTTTACTCGTTAATTAACATTTTTATAAACTTAAGGCTGTTTGGGTGTGGGTTTTAATTTATTTTTAAAAGAAGTTTCAACATATTTGTTAGCTCATTTTGAACACATTTTTTCGAGCGAGTAGTTTTTTTTTTTTAGCATTTGCAGAGCTGCTGCTTGGAAGCTTTACTCGTTACTTTACAAAATATGTACTTAAAGCTTTTGGGTTTTATTTTCAGTGTTTTTTTTTTTTAAATAAGTTTCAACATATCTTTAAGCATATTTCTAACACATTTTTTCCAGCGAGTGACTAAGTGCTGGCAGGCCAGCTTATTGTAAGCTTTACTCGTTACTTGACAAATTATGAACTTAAAGCAGTTTGAATTTGATTTTGATTTTTAAAGCGCGCTTTCAAAACATTTTCAATTTACTCGCTGAAATTAAAAGCTACACGTTGGTAGCGCTACTCGTTACTTGAAAAAAACTGTCTCAACAGGAAATGCGCTCAAAATATGGCTAATTAGGAAAACAACTTAGGTATACAAAATGATAACTGGCATTTGTGGTATTTGGAATTCTCGGCGTGCGCGCGCGCGCGCGTGTGTGTGTGTGTGTGTGTGTGTGTGTGTGGGGGGGGGGGGGGGGGGGGGGGGGCAGGGCAGGCAATCTGGTTCAGATGATACACATGATATATTATGATAGATATATATATATATATATATATATATAGATATAGTTAGATATATGCACAGACAGCAGTTGAAATGTGACTTCAACTTATGACTTTTTGCTCTCTTGTTGTTTTTTTTGTTTTATTATTATATTATTATTGTGTAAACTAATACCAAATACAGCTGATTGTGTATTTTACATTTAACAACGTGCTTGTTTTGCAGCTTATGCTCCCCGCTTTTTGTGTACAAAGGAATATATTTACTTGCTGTTTTCTTTTTTTTTTGTTTCTATTATTGCCTGTGGCCAGTTGTTGTTGTTGTTGTTGTTGTGGCATTTGTTGTTTTGTTGTTTTCTTTTTGGAATTTAGCACATTTTGTTTTTTTGACGATTGCAATTTCATTTTTGAGTGTCAAATTATCAAAAACCTTTTCGGAATAAAAACAAATTGAACAAATGCATATATATATATGAGTGTGTATATATATATATATATATATATATATATATATATATACATGCTATGCTTGCTGCAGTTGTGTGTATGAGGTGTATGTGTGTGTGTGTGTGTGTGTGTGTGTGTGATAAACGACTACAATAATGATTTTGTTGATAATTCCATGTCTACGATCTGTATATCTGAATTTCTCCGATTCTGTTATTGTAGATTTTGTTGCTGGTGCTGTTGTTGCTATTGTTGTTGTTGTTGTTGTTGTGTTGTTGTTGTTGTGTGTGGTTGTTGTGTGTTGAGGCTTAACCAATCATCAGTCCGCAGCCAAGCTTAAAGTTATTCTTCACATGATTCATGCGTCCGCTCAGCGCAAAGGAGAAGGGCAGCGGCTGCAGGCGCTTTTCCAGCACGCCCGAAATATGCCAATTTGAGTCGATGGAGCCTGCAACAAATTGAATATATATTATAATATGTACATATACATTCAATTTAACAAAAATCCAACTTAGCCATGTCATCTCCTAATACCAAAATGTTGAGAGTCTGCGTCTTCACTTTCATTTGAATGTCAAAAGAATTTCTCTGCCAAAGTCCAAAATACTTTTTGCGAAGTGCACAGTTTGTAAAAAAACCTCAAGGTTTGCCTTATAAAAACTTATTCTACAAGCGATTCTTTCCATAGATATTGATAAGATCTAGCTTATATATATAAAAAGCATTTGCATTTGTCAAGTTTGCTTAAGAGAGCCGGAAAAACGAGAAGTTCTTCAGACACGAACTCAATTTGCATTCAACAAGTTTTCGCGCATTTTCCGCCAGCTGGCGTGAATTGGTGCAAAAAGTTTGGCTCCCGCTCGAAAGATATTTAAACTTTGGAATAAACAGAAACAAGGAAAACGAATTGGAATTGAATGGAAAACAAGAAACTTTCTAACAATTTTCCAATTAAGAATCAAGACAAGTTTCTGCCTGTTGCTAAAAAACAGCTTTAGCAAGCTTTAAAAGTGAGCTTAAAGCTTTCACTTTTCCGCCAAATGGCGTGGAATTTGCGAAAAGTGTGAAACACACCACGAGTGTAGATGAATTGAAGGCCTAACAAATACGTTTATAAGCAGCATTTCCGCTCATTTTGCGCTGTTGCGCGTGGATTGTGCAAGAAACACGTGACTACAGTAAAACATGCCTAGCTCTTAGAGCGCGTCAGTTCGTCAGTGAGAACAGTTTTAGTTATGACAGCTATAGGATTTGCAATGTCTAACCTCTGAACACCAAATCCGCCTTGGGCAAATCAATTTGATAGGCTATGGTCGCGACAGACTCCTGCATGCGTAGACTTGTTTCGACCTCGACGCCAATTTGCAGCTGCTCGCTGGCCTTCTGATAGTAGCACAAGTGCAGACCGCTTGGACCGAGAGTGCCGGACCAAATGGAATCGCCATTGGAATAGCGGCCCAGGGCGGAGACAATCGCTATCTGGCGGCCGGGCACATTGGGGCCATACTGATAGGCCACCTCGGCGCCGAGGGCCATGCGCTGCGTAACCGACTGTAGATATTGGCCAACAACAACGCCGGAATTGGTAAATATGCTGGGATTGCCCAGCGTTATCGAGGCGGTAAAATCGTTGCCCCGATAGTCTGTGCTCAGCTGTGTGGCCATCATTTTGGACTCCTGAATCTGTACGAGAAACATTAAGCAATTAGCAAATTGCAAGTTCGAAATGGAAAGAAGCATGCCACACATACCTGGGAGGCGAATTTGCAGCGCAAACGCGACGAGAACTGATGTATAACATTCGCATTCAGATTGCCCGATGGATCAATGTCGCCCAGCAGCACGGGAAACGCCTCGGTGGGGCTGTACTGTTTGGTGCCCACATAGGTGGCACCAAAGCGATAACCACTGGGCACTGTGGTGCTCATGTTGATCGTGTGCGATACCTGAAAATGATTGCTCAGCCCCTTGTTCAGCATGATCTTGGCGCCCTCGAACGTGATGGCCTGCACATCTGTTCGGGAATAAAGTCGATTAGTGAAGTATCAAAATTGTCCAAACCATATTGAGACAAGCTGCAGATACAGTGAAAGCTTTCATGCACAGATTCGAACCGGCTTCCTGCCTGGCTGTCAGCTTGTCATATATTATTGCAATATTATGAAATTGTAATTGATAATACAACTCAAAGAAACTGTTTGAAATGTAAAATGAATGCATGTCTCTCTCATAAGCGGACAGCTATCAGACCACCGCAGCGGCAGGTGTCCGCTTATGATAGCTTTCACTGTATATGCACTGATAATACATAATCAGAACCCAACGCACACGCACAGACACACACACGCACACAGGCGCACGCATGCACGCACACAGGCGCACGCACACGTACGGGGGCCCGCTGTACGAGCGCAGCGCCCCCGCCCCCTTCACATGGTTGTAGGTTATGTCATCAGTGCGAAACATTTGCAATTGTGTATTGAATTTACTGAATGACATTGCATACCTTTGCATTTTTTATGCAACTCCTCAACGGTGCCGGGATTTTCCAATTGATGATCCTTGGCCGCAACGCTGGCATCGGCGGCAATCGCTGCCGATGGTGTTGGCTCTGTTGGAATTGCGGCTGGTTCCGGCAAACCCAGGCTGGCAGCCACACTGTTGCTGCGCGCCGCCGTTGTATCGAGGCCGGATGATGCCGCTAGCACGTTACCCATATCGGTTATTTTGTCAGTACAAGTTTATTGTGTGTGTGATATTTTTTTTCTATTTTTGTGTGTGGCCGTCGAAATTAAAAGTGGCACGCGCTAATCTGGAGTATCTGTGTGTTAGACACTCTACAAAAAAAAAAGACTGCTTTTTTGACAGCAAACTCGATAGTAATATGTATATCGATAGCTGAACTGGCATCGATATTTAGCACTTGCCGCACGGCCAACGTTGTTCTTGAATTTCAAATTTATGTAGCACTCAATCGTTGAGTGTTTATAAACTAATAGTTAATTCAATAATTACAAAATAATGCAAATTGTGCATAAAAATTGCTTAAGCAGCTGCCGAACCATAAAGTACTCGATGCCCAGGCATTAACAGCTGAGCTGCCACTGTAATACAGCTGGCCAGGGCAAGCGCGTTGCCAGACTGCGCGCAATTGGGCGGCAGCTTTCAAAATGTTCGCGGTTCCTTAAAAGTTATTCATAAATGAAAGCGCTGATTAATCAATAAAAACGTTTATATTTCAAGTTCAAGTATATGCAACCTTGCTTTTTATATATGTATATCTATATATATATAAGTATTTCTTGTATAAGTTAATTAGTAGAGCACAAATCTCTGCTACGTATAAAGCTGAAAAAGTTTTTAATAAAAAAAAAAAAAAAAGAGCTTTGTGAATGACGCTTGGCTGTTATTTCGCTTTCGGTAAGAATCAGTTTGGTTTCGGATTAAAGGCAAATAACATATTGTACTTAAATGAGTCCAATCCAATCGGCCGAATGATCTTTGTGTACAAATATTTGGATTAACTTAAGAACGAAACTTAAAATAGCTGCAATACATACAGATATATAAATATATATATTTGTACAATACGCTTGCACTTCCTTATATTGATTTCTATTTTCTTAGTTCTTTTTGGTGCGCTATTAAAAACGAGTCAACAAAGAAAAATGTTACAAATCGCCATCAATGCACGTAATATGAGGTCAAAGATCAACTTGGTGCACGATCAATTAAAATTCCGATTATAAAAAAAAAAATTAAATAAAAAATATATGTATATATACACATATCATGTATATGTATGGAAAATTGTAAACAAAACAAATCAAATTAAACACACGCATTCGGTTTAATTAAATCAACAGCAGGAGGATTTCTCGGGCTCAGCCATAACCAGATTAAAGTCCAGACTATTGGGCCGCGCAAAGCCCGACTTGATGCCATCCCAGCCATCCTCGGCCTTGTATTCGCCGGAACGTATGCGGGCATAGACCTCCTGTGTGACCATGCGGAAAGCCTCCTCAACGTTGGCGCCGGTGCGCGCCGATGTCTCCACAAAATGCAGGCCATGCTGTTTGGCAAATGTTTGCGCCTCCTCGGTGGACACCTCACGATGCCCGCCCGCATTCACCAGATCCAGCTTACAGCCGACCAACGCGAACACCGGCCGATGCGGCTCGATGTGACGCTGCGCCTCCATCATCCAGAGGGGTATATGCTCAAAGCTGGCATGATTCGATATATCATAGACGAGCAGCACGCCAACCGAATTGCGATAGTAGGACTTTGTTATTGAACGGAAACGCTCCTGTCCGGCCGTGTCCCACAGCTGCAGTTTGATCTGTTTGCCGTCCTTCATTTCGATGAGGCGGGCGAAAAAGTCAACGCCCACTGTGGGATCAGATAGCTGCAAAGATCCAAATATTAAAATCAAAATCGGGTGTGTATCAACAAATGAAATCAAAAGAATGTAGATCACATCGACAATAAAGGGTTTTAGCACAAATTCAAAAATATGCGCGCGCAGTCCAAGGTTGCCACACTTTCTGTTCTTGTTGTTGCTGCTGCTGCTGCTGCGCTTGCATTATCAGTAAGAAAACACACACACTCACACACACACACACACGCACGCACACTTAGAGAGGCTGCGGCTGCAACAGACTTTGTCTTTATTAATAATTTTTCGCCATTTTAGCCACTTAATTATGTAATTGTTATTATTGCGCACTGTTCATACACATATTGAGATTACAATTTAACGCGTACCTCCGCAAATTTTCCATCTGTAAAGAATTTGAGCAGCGAACTTTTGCCCACAGTGCTGTCGCCGATGAGTATTAAGCGAAATTGATAATCAAAAATAGGCTCAACCATTGTGTGTGTGTGTGTATGTTTTGTTTCCTCCTTCCCCTCTCCAACAGCTTCAGAGCGTGGCCCCTTTGCCCCGTTCTCGTTTGTTGTTATTTTGCGTTAATACGCAAATTCGCTGCGAGTCCTTTTTTTTCTCGTTCTGTCTTCTAAAGAGCACACTCGATTAGATTTTGCACAAACTGAGCCAAGAGCAAAGTATAAATAAACTGCAGCCTTTTTGTTTATTGAATTTAAAGTAACTCAGCTGCTCAGTTGTTTGTTTTTTTTTTTCTAACGCACGTCAATTTCTGTATGTGTGTGTGTGTGTGTGTGGGCTGGCTTTAGGGCTGGCAAACGAGTACAATGCGCATGCAAGTACTCAAGTGCAGAGTGGCAACGCTACCAATTTAAATTTGGCATCGATTTAGCACATATATAGGAAATTGCATGAAATCAAACATTTTATAAGTAATTTCACCTTTGCGCTGCTGTCCACAAATAAACAAACCATTTATAACAGTCGACTTGCACTATTATTGATAGTATCGATCTTCAAATATGCATGTATCGTTATTCGATTGTCATCACTAGCTGTCACATTTGACATTAGTTCGTTTTATTTCGGCTTTATTTTTATATTGTTTTTACTATTGCATTGCACAAATGTACAATAACAGACAGAGAACAACAACAACAAACAACTTAGGCGCATACACAATCAACAACAGACGCGCAACGGCGCACGAATAATTGCCAAACGTTAACTGTTAACTGCATAACTGTTAACGTACACATTCGCCAGGCAAACGGGCCCAGCGTGTGCGCCGAAGGTTATTAAACGCAAGATCTTGTGTCGCTGCCGCTAAATAGCTAGCATATACATATATATATATATAGATGTTAAGGTTTGCGCTGCACGACGCCATTGGCTATGTGCGCAGCAATGTGCGTGATTTCAGTCTCAATGCCCTGCGGCTGCTACCCCAACTGCCCCAACTAAGTCCCTACGATGTAAGTATCGATGCAGCTGTGCGGTATCGATCCAGCTAACTGTTGTTGTTATCGTTGTTGTTGTTGTTGTTGTTGTTGTTGTTGCAGGTGAATATTGCACTGAAGGAGAACGAGTTTGTTTACAATTTCCCGCTGGACGGCATCATACGCAGCTATGAAACAAATCAGCTTGGCTCCAATTCTCCCTGCGAGGATTCGCGCACCGAGGCCAGCCTCCAGTTCCGCAACGGCTTCATATGCGGCGTCTTCGATGGCCATGCGGGCGCCGCCTGCGGCCAGGTGGTCTCCAAACGCCTGCTGCGCTACATATCGGCCGGCACGCTGCCGCGCCAGGTGCTCAAGCAGCAGCTGAAACAGGGCTGCGACAGCCAGTCGTTTCTCAAGTGCCACAACGACAAGGTCGACTTTGTCAGCGAGATACGGCCCATCTATGAGCGCAGCTTTCAGCAGTATATCAAGCGTTTGGCCGAGGTGCCGCAACGGGATGTGGCCAGCGAGCTGGAGCACGCATTCCTTCAGCTGGATGCGGATTTGGCCCAGGAAGCGTTGGACAACAATGATGCGCGCACCATGGGCGTGGCGCTGTCGGGTAAGCTACAGCTTTTTCCTAGTTGGCATTTTTATTTGAAACAATCTGGCAACACCAGCAAATGGTTGAACGCAAGTCTCCAGTTAAAGTTTAGCCGCACGTTAAAGTGGAGCCCGGCTAAATGTCATTTAGTTAGGGCTGCATTTGACTGAGAGAAATTGGCAAAATTGATTCATAATTAAAATAACTAAGCATTCGTATACATAGTGTTGCCATTATGTTGTAATATATGCTTACTTAACTGACAGTTAATTTAGTTGACAAGAACACTGTGTACCCTTAACTGGCAGTTAATTGAATTGACATTGGCATAAGCAAAATATTTAAACGTCAGCCTAACTAGACACGCTGTTTTCTTGTTCTTCTTGCTGGCAGGCGCCGTCGCCTGCCTGGTGCACTTGGAGGGCCTGCAGCTGCATGTGGCCAGCACTGGGGACTGTGGCGCCGTGCTGGGCGTGCTGGATCCGCAGACGAATCAATGGCATCCCAAAAAGATGAACATCGAGCACAATGTGGAGAACATGCAGGAGGTTAGCCGCATACTTGGCGAACATCCGCGCGAGGAGCGCGAAACGGTAATACGAAATGGCCGGCTGCTCAGCCAGCTGGCGCCGTTGCGTGCCTTCGGCGACTATCGCTACAAATGGCCCGTGGAAACGCTACAGCAGAAGGTGGTGCCCATGTTCGGGGAGCAGGTGTTGCCGCCAAATTATTATACGCCACCGTACCTGACCGCCCGGCCGGATGTGCAACAGCACGAGCTGTGCGCGAACGATAAGTTTCTAGTCATTGCCAGTGACGGCCTCTGGGATTTCCTAACGCCCAGCGAGGTTGTCAGCCTTGTGGGTGAGCACATTAACTCGAAAAAAACAATGGAACCGATGCGCCTGCCGCCCGGCAATGTAACGCTGCAGCAAATCTCCGATCAGCTAGCCGAGCGCAAGTAAGTAAATGCGTTTACCTCAACGGGAAATTCGTTTTCATTCATCCGTTTTTGTTTTTTTTTTTGCAGAGCGGGTCTCACACGCAAACCGATCGATCAGAATGCGGCCACGCATCTGATACGCCATGCTCTGGGCGCCACAGACTATGGCATTGAGCACTCGAAGATCTCGTATTATTTGTCGCTGCCGCAGGACGTGGTGCGCCTGTACCGCGACGATATCACCATCACCGTCATCTACTTCAACTCGGAGTTTATAGCGCGGCTCAAGGGCGAAACGCTGCCCCAGTCGCCGCAGACGATGCAGCCGCCGGCAGCGTGATCTGCGTCTAAATCGTGTTGATCCGGCCCAGTCGAGCCAGTCCACATGCCACCTGAACCAGCCTTCAGACAACCGGCACATAGTGCGATCTATATAGATATATGTGTACATATATATATATATATATATATATATGGTTATGCATGCATATGTGTCTGTGTATTTATTGGCCAGCGCTAAAGTCTAGCCTAAGTTGTTTCGTTTAAGTTTTGTTTACAAATTTATACAATCCTCAACCACATCCAACCCTCTATTGTTGTTGTTGTTGTTGTCGTTGTTAACTGCTTATCCTGTGCCGGGACGAGAGCCAATCGCAGGCTAAACGCAAATAAATATCAAAGATAATCTATAAAAAAAGAACCCTACTCTCAAAACTGAACACTTGCAATTTTTTGCTTTTTTTTTGACAAGAATCTAAGTGTCTTTGATAAATCATGATCATGACAATACCTATATATAGACATGTCTATAACTACGTTTGTTCAAGCTGTTTAGAAGTGCATATCAAAGTCTCAAAATCCCCTTTATCGAGGCTTTGTTTCATAACATAAAGTCGCAGTTCTGTTATGCTACAGTGGCATCTGTTAATAGATGTGCGCGCTGTTAGGCGACAATGTAAACGGCTTATGAGAGAGAGAGCGAGAAGGAGAGATGCTGCCGCTTGGCTCGCACGCGTGCAATTGGATCGGGCTGGCAGAGGTAAATGAATATCGCGAGCTTTTTGTTGTTGTTGTTGTTGTTTGTTATTTGTTTTTTGTTTACAATTTGAACAGTTTGTTTCGAGAATTGATTAGTTTATTTTACAATTATATTCATTACACTCGAAGGCCGTACATGCTAATTGATTATGTTTAGGTTTTTGTATTTTGCGTTTTTTTTTTAAATTTTAAATTTTTACTGTTGTGGGGTTTACGTTAAAACATAGCATACGGATATACAGTTATACACGCATATAGGCATATATATATATATATATACCATATGAATGCAGATTAAAGCGAGGCTAAAGCTACAGACAAACACTTACAAAAAGGAAAGAGAAGAACTGGGCAGGGTTCGATTTCGGGTTCGGGGTCAGGTGCAGCTTTCTATTTTTTTTTTTTTTGTATTCCATATTGTGTTTTTGCTACAAATCGACATAGATTGAAGTAAACGAAGAATTGGCCAGCTAATCCTTGGCATCCTGATCGGCGACCTCCTGCCTGCTGACACAATTGAGAAATTCCATTTGGATGTGCGTGATTTGTGTCTTGCTAAAATATTGCATTTTCTTTTTGAGAAAATCAAAGAACAAATCAAGCTCATCGCGCTTGATCAGCGCCTGCGCCAACTGCTGCTGTTCGTCGTCCTTGATCAGCGTGCTGCTCGACGCGACGCTGATGGAGGAGGCGCCCCCATTCCCATTCCCGCCGCCGCCGCCGCCGCAGCTCAAAGCCGGCAGCTGTAAAATAGTTGTCGCCGTCGCAGCGCTATTGTACGGCGTATTTGTGGAAGTATTGCACAGTGTGGCTGTTGCTGCCGCCGGCACCGCTGCCGCCGCTGGCAGCGTGGTGCTCACCGTTGCCGCATTCAAGGCAACCGCCGGCGTGCTCGAGATGGTGACACTTGTGCTGGTCGCTTCGGTCACATCGACGAGCGCTATTTGCTGCTGGCTGGCAGCTGAATCCTGGCAGCGCTGGCTGCTCGCCGACGCCGTCGTTGTGACCAGCGTGAGATTCTTCAGCTTGGCGTCGGCCGTGATGACGCTGCCATTGCCCGAGAGCACGCTGTTGCTGGCCGTGGCGCTGCTGACGGTCGCTGCGCTGGCGAAATGATGCGTTGCATGCTGTGCATGCGGATGCTGGGCATGATGTGTGGCACGCAGCGGCACGGCAACGGTGTTGCGCTGCTCGGGCTCCGGTTCGATGTCTTCAATGCAAAAGCCATCGGCATCAATGTAATGGAAGCCCTTGCTGTCGGTGACATCGCTGCTGCCATCGACGCCCAGTTCGCAGTGCGGACCGCTGGCCTCTTCGTAGAGGCAAACCTCCTCGTAGTCAACCTCGGTGCCGTTGGCGACGCCATCCTCGTCCAGTTCATGCTTAACAATATCGACCGTCTGGCCATCATGATCGACGACCTCATCGTCATCATCGTCCAGCTCATCGTCGACAACGTCGTCGTCGTCCTGCGTGATTTGTGACAATTCAATGCTGGAAATGCTGCCGTCATGCTGCGTCTGATGGTGATGATGATGATGGTGCTGCTGCTGCTGCTGTTGCTGCTGCTGCTGCTGCTGCTGCTGATGATGATGATGGTGATGATGATGATGCTGCTGCTGGCCATGGTGAGCATGCTGATGATGCGTGTGCACCGTATCATCGGCCACGCTCTCCTCGTAGGCGGTCAATATGAATGTCTCGGTCTCATCGACCAGCGTTATTTGCGAGCTGGCATGATGCGAGGAGGACATGGCCGTTGCGTTCGAGTGCCCATCTTCATCGATTAGCTCATGATCGACATCATGGTCATGCTGTATGCCATTGACAACATCATCATCATCATCGATATCGTCATCCTCGTCCGGCTGCTTTTTGATCTGCACCAAAGCGGCCATCGCATTGCGATGCGCCTTCAGCTTCGGCTGATACACCTTCGACAAGAAGTCCAGCTGCTTGGCATATCGCCACTTCGACAGACGTCCCTCAATGCATTTGGGCGAGCGTCGACGGTATTGATGATATGTGTCCCGCAGATTCTTCCACTTGCGTCGCACCTCCTGCACGCTGTACTTGTCTGAAACGGCGGGCGGAAGCGTCGTAAATGTGTGCTTATATATATAATTTGATCAGGGATTTGCCCAGCTTAGTACTCACTGCCCATTTGCTGGGAGACCTCCTGCCAGCCGCTGAGTATGTCCGGGCGTCGCCTTTGGTTCGGCTGCAGCTTGTAGTTATATAGCGCCGGATTCTGGCGCACCAAATTGATAAGCGTGATAATATCATCCGTGGGCGCATTGTCCTTGTGATAACGCTTGCGCTCCGACATGGTGTGCCTGTGTGCGTGTGTGTGTGGGTGGGTGGGCGTGTGTATGTGTGTGTGTGTGTATGTGTTTTGTTAGCTTGTTGCTGTTGCTTCTATTATTTAGCTGGCAGCTGGAGTTGTTATTGTTTACGCGCTTTGCGCCTGGCCGCGATTGCGATTGCGTTTTTTCGTTTTTTCTTTTTTTTTTGTTGCGTTTATTGTTCAACTCGGCCGCAATTTGGTGTCAGTTTCCGCTGTTCCCAGTTTGTTAAAATGGTCTGGCATGCAAAAAGGTTTGCGTGTGCTCAGGCCAGCCAAAAATGCACACAAATTTTCATTTAATGCACACACGTTTGCCACACAGCGCTTTTGGTAGCCACGAATTGGCCATGTTCAATTACGCAGGAAAAACAATTTAGATAGAAATTTTTGGGTTACTAGCGTTGCCGTACTGTGTTTGTATATGCTGGGCACCACAGAAGCAGCGTAACGTTGCCAGATGGCGGCTGTGGAATTTTACCAGCGATAGGCACGAGCACTAATAAATGCGGAATAGGGAACACTATCAACGATAGTCTGCAAGCTAACACCGATGTTTCGCATCGGCAAAGGCACCCATGCAGCGATATATCGTAGTAGAAAATATCGATGCAATCAGAAATTGCGCAGCAAAAATGCATAGACACGAATATTGATTATTATATTTTTAATTAAACTACATAAATGTAAAACATAGGAAACATAATTAATAATAATGATAACCAGGCACAGAAATGTGTACAAACGTATATAAAACAGCATTTGGTATCGATAAGTGTGAGCAAAAGCCAAGCGGACATCGGGTAACACATATCGATACATCGGTGCTTTGTGATCTCTAATTAAACGATAGTTGTGCATTGCTTGGTCTTCGCGACTGGCAGAAATTTTCGTGTTGGAGACCACGAAAAAATTTATAATTGTTGACTGAAAATGAGTACGCCCACAAAAAATGGCACCGGCTTAGAGGATGTCAACATACCTGGTCAAGCGTTCCTGCGTGAGGCACTAACCTCCTGCACAGATCCGCTTAAAGCCATCGAAAGTTTTCAGGTATGTTTAAGCGCGAACATTGTGTGTGTGTGTGTGTGTGTTTTTTTTCCTGTGTTTTTTTTTTTTGTTAATTGTAAGAATCAAGTATATGTTTAACCATGTCTCCAGTTGGAGAATGGCGTACTGCTGCCGTCGCTGCGTCCCATGCTGCCGCTGTTGGATTTGCATGGCGTCCGCCGTCTGGATTTTCACACATCCCTCATGGAGGAGCTGCGCGACAAGCTAATCGCGCACATCAACGAGCTCGGCCAGAAGGAGCCGCGCGAACGCGAAAAGAAGCTAAAGGAGCTGCTGGTCAAGAGCTTTCCGGTTGTGCGCGTCAAATCATTGCGTCCCGTTGTCATGGCCATATTGCGGAACACCCAGCACATTGATGATAAATATCTGCGGATTTTGGTACGCGATCGCGAACTCTATGCGGACACGGACACGGAGGTGAAGCGCCAGATCTGGCGCGACAATCAATCGCTATTTGGCGACGAGGTCTCGCCGCTGCTATCGCAATATATACGGGAGAAGGAGCACATCCTGTTCGATCACACGAATCTCAACAATTTGTTCTTTCAGCCCACGCCCAAGGTGCGGCGGCAGGGCGAGGTCGTTCAGAAGCTGGCCAATATGATTGGCTCCAGCGTCAAGCTCTACGACATGGTCTTGCAGTTTCTGCGCACACTCTTTCTGCGCACACGCAACGTCCACTATTGCACGCTGCGCGCCGAGCTGCTGATGGCCCTCCACGATCTGGAGGTGCAGGAGATCATATCGATAGATCCGTGCCACAAGTTCACCTGGTGTCTGGATGCCTGCATTCGGGAGAAGAACGTCGATATAAAGCGTTCGCGCGAACTGCAAGGCTTTCTGGATAATATCAAGCGCGGCCAGGAGCAGGTGCTAGGCGATTTGTCCATGACGCTGTGCGATCCCTATGCCATCAATTTTTTGGCCAGCTCGGCCATCAAGATACTGCAGCATCTGATCAACAATGAGGGCATGGCCCGGGATAATCAGATATTGATATTGTTGTTGCGCATGCTGGCGCTGGGCCTGAGCGCCTGGGTGATGATCGATTCGCAGGACTTCAAGGAGCCCAAACTGGATGGCCAGGTGGTCACCAAGTTTCTACCAGCCCTCATGTCGCTCATGGTGGACGATCAATGCCGCAGTCTGCACGCCAAGCTGCCGCCCGACGAGCGCGAATCGGCGCTGACCACCATCGAGCATTCGGGCCCGGCCCCGGATGCCGTCGAGGCCTACATTCAGGAGAGCGCGGTGGCCAGCATTCTGGCCATGTACTATACACTGCATACGGCACGCGCCAAGGATCGCGTTGGCGTGCTGCGCGTTCTGGCCATACTCTCCGTTTGCAAGGACGATCGCGCCTACGAGGATCCCTTCCTGCACTCGCTGATCGCCCTGCTGATACCCATGAGCGATGAGTTTGCCACCGAAGACTTTTGCACCACGCTCTTCGATGAGTTCATTTTCGCCGGCCTGCAGCGCGAGAATGTCACCTCGCGGCACATGCTGAAGCTGCTCTGGTATGTGCACAACAAGCTGCCCGCCGGCCGACTCGGCACGCTGATGAAGGCCATGCAGCCCACAACGGCACACAATGAGCACATTCACAAGCTATACGAGACGCTGCAGGAGCGCATTGGCGCCGGCCCGCCGCCGCCGTTGCCAACACCCCAGCCGACACCAGAGACGCCCGTTGTTGAGGCTGCGGCCGCGGCGACGGCGACGGCAATAGCTGCGGCTACGGTGACAGCGGCGCCGCCACCGCTGCCGGCACAGCCACTGCCGCTGCCACAGCCGGCGACGGCGGAGTTTGATGCAACGGCAAAGGGCGTGCCCGCGCCAGGTCCACACTATAGCCCCCAATAGCCCGAGGCAGCGGCAGCGGCTGCCAACGCAACAGCTGCTGCCACAGTTCCCACAGCTGCAACAGCTGCGCCTCTTGGATAAACAGCAGGCTCGCATTAGTATCTATATGTAACCTTATTTATATTAAGCCTTGTAAATAGCTAAACCTGTTTTTTTTTTTCATATGATATTCATAACCATATTGGATGTCTATATCTATAGGTATATAAGTTAATCTATGTCTATCTGAAGCCCACCAATGTCGATATATTAATCAAACATGTGTGTGTAGAGCCGGCCATATATATATATAGACATAAATAACCAGTCATAGAGTCGATCAATGTCTAAAGATAATCCACAATTTGTCGAACTATGTGTCCAATTGGGCATATATATCCAGCAATAGAAACTTAATCAACAATTTGTCCAAGTCGATTCTACTTAGGTCTATGTAGAGCATACCAATTGGGCAGCAATAGAGCTTATCAATGTCTATAGATAATCAACATTTTGTCTAAGTAGATTCTATCTATGTCCAATTAAGCATATACATCCAGCAATAGAAACTTGATGTCTATGGATAATCAACATGTTGTCTAAATATAAATTACCTTTGTCTATGTAGAACAGTCCAATTAAGCATATGCATCCAGCAATTCAATTCAGTCAATCAATGTCTATGGATAACCAATAATTTGTCTATGTATAAACTATCTTAAATAGGCATATGCATACATCCAGCAATAGAGCTTATCAATGTCTATAGATAATCAACAATTTGTGTCCAAATAGAATCCAACAAAAAGTTGCATCTATTCAGATATAAATGTCCAGATATAGAGTCTAGCTATAAACAATTATGTGTCTATATAGAAGCTACCCATGTCTAGATATATAATCAACTATTTGAGTAGATATAAATGTCTAGATATAACCAAGTATGTGTCTATATAGAGTCGACCAAAGTCGATATATATATGTGTCTATATAGCCCCTACCTATATCTAGATATATAATCGACTATACTATATAGATGTAGATATAAATGTCTAGGTATAACCCAAGTATGTGTCTATATAGAGTCGACCAAAGTCGATATATATATAGCCAACTATGTGTCTATATAGCACCTACCTATATCTAGATATATAATCGACTATACTATACTATATATCCAACTATGGAACCTATCGATGTCTACATATATATATATATAATATCAAGTGTATGTCTATATACAACATACACATATCTATATAATTAATCAACTCAATGTCTATATATATATACGATAATGTCCAGCCATTCTATATATATCGAACTATAAGCCGACATTTTCAGGGCTACGCGCGTGATATTCGTACGTTTTAAAACCAAAGAAAAATTCAATTTTTGTTTTTTTTTTTTTTCATCTTTCTCAAGGTCCGATTTTAGAATAGTATTTTAAGAAGAATTTTTCTAGTCCAAAAGTGAGTTACTCAAGTGATAAAAAAAAAAGAGAGATTACAAAAAGAATAATTCCATTTTACAAAAAAAAAAAATGTTCTCATAATGAAGATATTCAAAAATCAACAGATTTTGAACAAGATCGAAGTTGAATCTGAAAAGTATTCCTATTTTAAGAACTGAAGCTCAACTATGAGATAAACTATAACATAACCTCAACTAAAGTAAACCTAATGCTCAACTAATGCTCGACAGATTCTAATCGCGTAGTCTTAAGTCTTAAAACTCATATTTGATGAAATCGAGCTCAATTTAAAGATATTCAAACATAACCTCAACGAAAAGCTACTTTCAAATTTTAAATGTAAAAAAACGTGAGGTATACACACTACACAATACCCTGGAATATCGCCAAACTACTTTCTACATGCATTTGTATTTTTACTTGAATACAATTGCATTTTTTTATAAATGTCTATTAACTTAATAATATTAAATCTGTGTGTCTATCTATCTATAAAAAAAAAAGTGTTTGTCTTGATTGAATGATTGATGATTGACGGGCAGAGCTTTCATTCTACATTTTTCATAGCAGTTCCCGTTTGTGCGATTTTTGCAAAATTCTGAACGCAAATTTCAAAATTTGTTGAGAAAATACTCCGGCCGCGCAATGCTGGGTAATTTTAGGTGTACGAAAATAGTTGAAGTCAGGATTTGCGCTTGACTAAATTGAAAATCAGCTTCTCCGAATCTCAATCAAAGTTTTTTTTTTTTTTTTTTTTTTTGAAGCAAATAAGAAAATGGGCCAAAATGTCTTGCATAAAGCCATCCGATTATTTTAGGGAGATCTTCCAGAGAATATTGTCCCATTCTAGTCCTATTTATGGCTTATGCTGAAGATTTTTAAAAATTGTCTTGGAAAACAAACAAGTTTTCCAAGCAAAAACTTATTTCCTTCGCTCAGCTCTATAAAACTAGATGTTATAGTGTTTCGATTCTGAGAAGATTTGGTTTAAGTTTAAAGATTTCTTGAAAAACAAAAATGTTTCATACCAGAACTTCGTTTTTGAGCTATTATTCTTATGAGAGGTATATGATATAGTGTTTCGATCTGGACAAGATCTGAGGAAAGACAGACACATCGCATGACAATAGAATAATATCTCTTTAAGGCTATAAAACCAGAAAGGTTTTACATACAATAACCTATCGATCGATGCTTCTTAGAGGCATATATGATATAGTCCTTCGATCTGGCCAATTACAAGATATGCGTACAACATTGACAAGGATAGATATACAACCGAGAGTCTAGTTTACATGCTAAGAGACAGACAGACTTACAAAAGGACCTGGCTCTAGTAATATCAAGGAATATATATATATATAATTAATGGATGCGGGCAGAGTTATCTGCCTCTGGGCTGTCCGAATTACAGGAGACTCGTTTGTGTGTTTTCAGCTTAAATAGAGACTATGACATTGGTATATTTAAAACTTTCGCAAGGAACGCTTACAACTAGTTGACAGTATCTGTGTGGAATATCAGCGGGAGACAAAAAAAAAAGTGGGAGTTAAATACAATAATAATAGTTGAATGGGTTTTGGGCGGGGCAGGGACTAACGCTCAGTGCTTGTCCGTTTCGTTGTCGGCAGCCGTAATCGGCTCGGGCGTTGTAGAGGATGCCGGCTGGGAGGATGACGAGGATTCCGTTTCGCAGGCATCCGGCTCGGCGCTCTTGCGATTCGTAGCCAGTGCAGGCGGCGGCGGTGGTGGCGACGGCGACGATGGGGGCGGCGGCGGGGATGATGGCTCCGCTGTGAGCAGCGCCTCGATGGCCGCCGCCGCAGCGGCAGCTGCTCGGGTGCGTGGGCAGGGCGACGATGGCAACGGATAGGTGATTGCCGATGAGGATTGCGGCGGCGGCGCGTCCGCCACAAAGTTCTCCTCGTTCAGCTGGTACAGCTCGAGATATTCGTTGTAGATGTGCTCCCATTGCGTGTGCGGCTTCAGCGACTCCAGGACGCACTGCATCAGCTCGTGTTTGGGCGCCGACTGCGGGCCAAACAAAAAGAGGACATATTAAATGAAATCAAGTGCCATTTGGCATGCATTTCTAAATTCACCTGCGTTGCCTCCTGCTCCGTATTGTTGAGCAGACCGTCGAGGAACAGGCGCAGACGCTTCTCGGTGCCGTAGGTGGCCAGCTGGAAGGTGAGCATGACATGCCAATGTTTTAGTTCCTCGAATGCCTCGAGAGCCTCGCACAGTTTTATTTGATTCTCCAGGAAGAGCACCTTGGCCGTTTGCTGCCAGCTCTCCGGATCGCTAGAGCAGAAGAAGCAGAAGAAGGGTTTAGTTGAAGCTCAAGTTGAGATTGACAATATTTCCACTCACATCTCGACGGCGCCGCGCAAACTGAGGTAGTTCTGTGTGCTGGCCTGCATGCTGAGCAGCGGGAACTTGCGATTCACATGCTCCAGATCGCGCGGCAGCGAGCCGCGTATGCCATTGAACATGATGGCATCGCCGGTGGCCAAGACCAGCCAGGATTTTAGATTCGTTGAATACGAATAGGAATTGCCGCTGGGAAAGCCAATCAGCGGCATGCCCTGATCCGTGATGGCAAACTGCAGCGCCATGCCGTGCTTGTTGAGCAGCTCCAGGCAGTTGGTCGCCAGCCGGATGCGTCGCTTGGTTATGTGCCAAATCCGCAGCAGGCCGCATTCGGTGAGCACGCCCACCAGCTGATTGTCCGGACTGAAGGCGCAGTGCACCGCGGCGCTATTCAGCGAAATGGCCGGAAAGATCGGACAGCCCGTCTGCATGGCCAGCAGACGCATGCTGCCGTCCAGAGAGCAGAGCATCACATATTTGCTGCACAGATTCACATTGATTACCGGCGAGCCGACATACATCTCCCAGAGCTGTTCCCGGCTCAGCTGGGCGGTCACCTTGGCGACCATGCCGTAGCCCGTCTTCAGATGCCCGTTCTGTACATGAATGCGATAGTCTTGCGACGATTTGGTGAATTCGCATTTACTATTCGCTGTGATTTGCAGCTTCGGTCCGAGCGTATTGCTGCTGTTCAGATCGCAGAGCAACTGCATCGAGCTGCGACGCGGCGCTATCGCAGCCGTTGCCGCCGGCGCCGGCGGCAGCATTAGGCGTCCCACTTGATCCGCGCGCGAGAAAAGCGGCTCCGGCATGAGCGGTTCCACGCCGCCAATTGGACCTGTTGCTGTCGTTGCTGTTGTCATTGTTCCTGTTGTGCTCCCGATATGGTTGCTGTTGCTGCTGCTGTTGTTGCTGTGGTAGGAAGAAAATATGTGAGTTAAGCTGGTCTAAAGTGTTTCGAATGGAGGAATGGAAAGTAGCGAAAGTAGCTCTGCAGCGTTTAAATTCATTTGCTTCGAGCTCGGATACTCAATCGCACAAGCGAAACGAAAGTCGATCCGCTCGAGCCAAGCAACATGCTCGAGTTCGACCTGGTTGAGTCAGGCAACATGTTTGAGTTGCAGCAAGCTCGGATACTCAATCGCACAAGCGAGCGAGAGTCATTGTGGTGATGCACAGGCTCTTCTGGTGCAGGTGTCTGGCTGGGAGAGAGGCTGTTTTCCAAGCTATTGGCTGGCCTAATCCTTGACAGCTGGCATGGCCCTGCCAATGCGAGGAGGCATGACCTGTAGCCAGTTGTGCCGCTCCAGCGCGCTTGATTCATGATCTGGCGAAATCTCCTCAAGGAAATAGTCCTTCGACTGACCAATGCAGCTGTTCAAAACAAGCAACTTAAGCTAATCCAAGGCTCTACTGGGGGATTATGACAGGTTTTGATCCCAACTAGCGCACCTAGCTCGTCTGCCTGATTAGGATGCACTTGCTCCAAGTCAAGCTCTCAAAAGTTCACCGAGATGCCTTCTTCATTCTGTCTGCGCTCTTCAAGGTTCTTTTAGCCATTTATGCCACCCACAAAGCAGCTTCCAGTGGCTGCTAATCTTCTCCAGCCGACCAACTGCAGATAAGAAATGAATTTAAAATCCAAGCACAACCCACCTGTTGCTGTGATTGACGGCATTGCTGGCGGCGCTGCTGGCGATGCTGGTGCTGGCTATGCCGGAGCTGGGCTCGGGCATCTCGTTGAGCGGTATAAACATGGGCGTGATCCGTCGCTTGCCGTCCTTGGTGCGCGTCTCTGTCTGTTTGCTGATGGCGCGAGCCGGCGAAGCGGCGCCCGCCTGCGACTGCTGGATGGGCAGGCGGCGTTCCATGGCCGCATTGGGCAGCGCATAGCTGGAGAGTTCGGGCAGGCAGCGTGCCGGCTGCTGCTGCTGTTTGATGGCCAAGTGGTCCTCGAAGCAGCCGCCGTATTTGCGCTTAAAAATGGCCTTCTTTTCCAGTTCGGAGACGCGCGAGCCGAGCTCCTCCTCGTTGAACTGCAGGCAGGCAATGGTGCCATCACCGCTGCAGGCCATCAGCAGGCATTGCTGCGGACCCCAGGACATGTCCAGGACGCTGTCATTGAACAGCTCATGGATGACAATCATGGGACGCTGCAGCGCCGTCATCCACACGGATAGCGAGCGATCCCGTGAGCCAACGGCCAGCACACAGTACTGCATCGGTTTGCTGGGACTGTCGCCGGCCATGTGGCGCGTCAGGATGGAGTTGTGGAAGCGCACACAGGTGACCGCTTTGCGATGCCCCACAAAATCCTTGTCGCACTTCCAGCCCTCGCGCTCAACAATCTGGGCGGTGGGTCCGCCGCCGTTCATGGCGTGCGCCGAGACCAGATACTGGCCATCGGGTGACCAGGAGAGGCGCAATATGTGCGTGGTGCCGCCGCATTCCTGGAACGGTTCCGTTATCGTTGTGCCGCACGACCAGTCCATAGTGCGCCAAATCTTGATGCTGCGATCATCCGACTGGGAGGCCAAGAACTTGCCCACCGGATCCCAGGCGACGCCCTTCACCAGGCCCGTGTGTCCCTTCAGGGTTTGCAGCATGTTAGGCAGAGCACGGGCATCCCAGACAATGATGGTGTTGTCTATGCTGCAGCTGGCTAGAAAGAGATCATTGGGCGACCAGGCCAGATCGAGAACATCGCCATCATGGCCGCGTAGCGTGTGTATACACTTCCAGGACTCGTGATTCTGTTGCATGCCGCCGGTGCCAAAGACGCCGCTGGGTCCCTGCGCCTTGCGCCAAATCATGATTAGCTTGTCATCCGAACCGGAAGCCAGCAGCTGTCCATTCTGCGACCAGCGCACACAGTTCACGCACGCCAAATGCTGATCCATTTGGCAGAGCATCCGTGGCACCGATGCATCGTTCTCATCCTTCTCGGATAGCACCGGCTTGAGATTCCAAATGACAACACGCCCGGAATCGTTGCCCTGACCGCCAGTTGCAAATTTTGTACAATCCTGGTGCACATCCACCGAGAAGATGGGTTTTTCTGTGTAAACAAAACAAATTTCCGGATTAAAGCACAAAAAAAAAGGGCTGCTGGCCGGCTGCTGCTTACCATCATGGTGCACCCAACCCGGCTTCACGAGCCTCATTAATGCGGCTGCTGTCAGTTGTTTGTAAATAACCGCGGTTCCAATTGCCGCTCGGTATTATATTTGCCGGCAAATAGGGATGTAAATAACATAACGACATGTATCGAGTAGATTGATTCATGCGCTGTGCCAATCCATGAGCTACAAGAGTATCGATATATATGCAAAATAATATATGACAAATCAAACTGATATCGATATAGTTTTTATAACAACTTTAGTTTACTAACTATATATGTCACTCATCAAATAGTTTCAAATGCCAATTCTATTATACATACATATCGATTAATGTGTGTTAATAGCTCGTATTTCTATTTTTTTTTTTTTTTTTTTGGCAAACTCGTGCGTAATCCAACACGCCCAACACAAGACCTGAGACAAGGTGTTGTTGTCATCTCTAAGCAAATACGCATGCGCGCTGATCTTGCAATAATTGGCACTGAGTATTTGCCGCCAAATGTACTCGTTATCGATATCGGCTGTCTGGCAATCGATAGACTTATTGTGTGAATTTTTTGCGGTATCCAAGACAGCGGTGTTGTGCTTAACCAAGATATCAATTAACAAGTGCAAATTGAATGAGTGCAGTGCTTAAACTAATCAAAGAACGACTTAAGGAATTCAACAACATATTGGCAGCCATAGTAGCTGTCAATATTAGTGCAAAACGATCAAAAGGGTAAGAAGCAGCACACAATGAGCAATTAATGTACATATGTATATAGATAAGTGTCTGCATGCCTGTTTGTATATGCATGTGTGCGTGTGTGTGTGTGTGTGTGTGTAGTACGTGTGCAGCCCAAACATTCAAAATAAAGCGAATGAAAATGCATAAAAGCGAAGGTTAAGCACAAAGCGCACAGATAGAACATATGTACATACATACATACATTTCCATGCAAACGCATGCATGCGTGTGTGTGTGTGCGCGCGCGTGTGTGTATGTGTATCTGTTCCAAATGCGTAGATAAAGCTGTTACCGATTTGTTGTTGACCTTCGCTTTGCTAATCAAACGAATCGGCAGCCGCAAACCAACAATGAACTCTTTCAATGGCAGCGGCAACTTAACCTCGTTCACAACAAGCCACAAATGTGCGGAAATACATAGGCACATATATATATATATATATATGTGTGTGTGTGTGTGTGCAAGTACAAACCCAAAAGCAAAGCGGCGCAAAATTTAAACACTAACTACCGCTGTCATTTCATGTTATGCTTGGTTTTTTTTTTTTTTTTTTAATTAGTGAATCTGTTTGCGCGCGCTTTCTCTGCAGGCACACACACACACACACACAAAGGGACATATGGTGGTTGCCGCTTACACACACTTTATGCATGCATACATGCACAGAATTCAGTCTATTACTTAACAGGCAATGCGATAAAGCAAGCTGGCCGCTGTTGCTCGCCCGCTCGCTCGCTGTGCCAAAATGAGCACAGCGTACACATCATACAGGTGAGCGAGAGAGCGCGCAACCTACTTCCATTTTTGGTGCGCTCTGCTCTTGCGCAGGCTACGCAAGGCATAAAATTGTATGTGTGTGTGTATTGGTGTATGTTTGTCAAGAAACAGTTATTCAAGCCGAAATCAAAATGCCCAAAGTTGCATTTTTTTTTTTTAAGATTTTTTACTTTCTATTTTAGTTGTGCTTTTTGTTGTTGGGTATTACGCTGGCATTCATTTAATACTGAATGTGAGTTTGTAATACCGTTATTTCGAATATCGCTCGGCGCTTTTGTTGTTGGCGCTGTCGGAAAGCTTAGCGGCAACCTGTTTTACGCATTGCTCTCTGCCACGCTCCTTGTATTGCTGTTATTTTGTTGTTGTTATTGTTATTATTGCTGTTTTCACATTCTTATGAGAATTCCAATAAGACAGGCTGGTCTTTCACTTTCGGTCAGACGCAACATGTGTGTGTATGTGTGTGCGTGCGTGTGTGTGTGTGTGTGTTGTAGGAAAGTTGATTTTTTCATGCGTGCCGCAGCAAAAACAAGGTCAGCGTTAATTATGCGCAGTATATACATATGTACATGCATATGTGTGTGTCACAATAAACAAACATCTTTGACGCATATCTCTATTTATAATAAAACGCTGTTCGCACTCGCCCACCCAATTCTTTGCGGCATTTGCTTATAACTCGCCCCCCCAACCCTTCCTCACTCCCACTTCCTCGTTCGCAATCAATTACCACAAGTACAGTTTTTGTTTTGTTTCGCAAATGAAATTTGATTGGTGTAAAAGAGGCAGCCAAAGCAAACACACACGCACACAAACGCATTGCCGTTGCCTTACATCAAAATGTACTAAATTTTGCCAAATGCCACTGCTTGCATATTTTTTTTTCTTGCGTTTTAATTTGTATTTATATGAGTTTTGCGCTACTCTGCCGCTTGCTGCTGCGCGCTGTCTTTAACATCGTAAACAAGAAACAAAACCTGGCTGCGCTGCAGCCACCAATAACGAGTGCATTTGACCTAAATTTAGGCCTTTTTTGTTTGTTTGTTGTTGTTGTTGTTGTTGCTAGCGTTGCCACTGGCACGTAGCGCACACCAAGGAAATGTACACATTTTTTTTCCATGCGTGCCATGCGGACACTTTCGCCTGGGCAAAACAAGAACAGCAACAATTTGTTGCACTGTAGTGGGTGGCAGTGTTGCAAAGCGTGTAAACAGCTGGCGGCGTTGCCACTAAATATGCGCAGTGTTTTCCAATAGGTGTACGCGTACTTTTAGACAGCTGATATTCAGTGTTTTATCAAAATTGTATTTTGAATAGGTCGTTTCATTATTGTTTGCCTGTATTTTTTTTTTTTTTTTTTTCAACAAAAATGAAAGATGCAACACTGGAAAAATACAGTACCAGTTTTGGTGCATTTATACTACATGTGGCAACTGTGCTTACATCTCATTTGTCACGTATTACACTTTTGCTCTAACTTCGATGTTGTCGTTGTCCCGGGGGTGGGGTGGTCTATAAATATACAAACAAGCATAGAAGCTTCTGAGTGTGCGTGTGCGAGAGAGAGACTGTGACGCTTGTTTTGAATTGCGCCTTAAGCATATGCATGTACATACATATGTATTTATGTAGCAAGAAGAACCGCAACTACCACAACAACTTAAGAGCGGCGCTTATCAGCTTCTGCTCGCACACGTTTTGACGTTTTAGCAGTTATTGTTGTTGCTGTTATTTGCGTTATATGCCACGCTAACAATAACAAACTGTATGCAACAACTGCAGACGAGCAACACAAATGTATATATATATGTACATACATACATACATATTTATATTTTTTAAACGTTTGCCTCCTTTTGTTCTGTGCAGTGTGGCAACGCCGTCTTGTTATGCAAATTGTTTCTCTCACTCGCTCACACTGTATCTCAATATCTGCCGTTTATGTGTGTGTGTGTGTGTTTTTTTTTTCACAACCGGAATTTTTTCGCTGTTGCTTTTGCTGCGCGCATTCTCACGTACACAAGAGCGTTTGGTTTGCGCTCAGCTGCCACTGCCGCCGCTTTGAGCTGTTACTGTTGTGTTATCACTGCATTTGCTTTGTGCTACATATTCTCGACGCTGTTTGGGTTTCGTACATTTTGCGCTGCAATCGCACTCACACGCACGCATACACAGGCACTCACGCGCACAGATACGCACACACACACACACAGCGTCAAATGTGTACGAAAAAGTGACGGCTGAAAAGCGGCGTCGTCGGCGTCAGCGTCGGCAGCAGCAGCAACATCAACGCAGCGCAGCGCAGCGGTTTATTTTATTTTATTTTTTGTATTTTCGGTTTGTCAGTTTGCCTTTGTGTTTCTTGCGTGCAGACGCGTTTCGTTATTTCGCTGTAAATTCAATTTGCGCTTTGCATGCAATTTGGAAATTTATTTCAATATTTATTGAAAATAAATGATTTTAAGTGACTTGTGAAATAAATAAATAAACAAAAAATAATTCAATTACGCAAATCCATTGAATTTCAAGTTAACTCTCGTTGACTTGTTACGGCGCAGGTAAATTGCTGTACATTTCAATTTATGCCTAAATATGGCTACTAAACGCGACTAAATAGAAAATTTGCCAAGATCAAAACATGATTTTTGTCAAACATATGTATGTATGTGTGTGTGTGTGTTTGTGTTTGTGCGCGCGTGGCGTGGGCAGCTGCTGCAGCAGCAACAACAATAATCTAGTCGGCGTCCGGCACTAAATGAAAAATATCTAAGAGAAAAAATACAGTGTAAACCGGTTTACGTAGTAGGCGCATTTTCACCAAACCAACACTTACGCGCACAGACACACTCACACAAACACACACGTACTAAGAACTGAGCAACTAGAAGAGAAGGTGGTCAAGTGTCGCACCCCGCCCCCCTCTCTCTTTGCCCGCTCTCGCAGGCTCCAAACAATTGTTGTAGTTTTTAAACGTTTAACTTTGTAACGTTTACCAACACGTAATGTCCCAATATCAATAGCCTCAAAGACGATCACACACACACACACGCACACAAAGATGCGTAGTTGTATATAAGGCATGTGCGTGTGTGTAGTACACGCGCCGGTGCATACATACAAGCAAGTACATATGTATGTATGTGCGTACGCACTTTCAACTTGAACGCCGATGTTCGAAAATCAGAGTGTCCCCAAAAATAAAATGAAAAGCATTTAAACACACACACACTAACATACTCACACTTATGCACAATGACAACGCGCACCTGGGAGCAAAGCGAGCAGCGCTGCTCGAAAGTCACGTCACTAGCTCTGGGGTGAATATCGTGTGTTGTTGTTGTTTTCACGAGAGTGCAACGAGCGCGCGCGCCAATGCAATGTATATGCATGTACGTATGTACGCATGTATGTATGTATGTATGTTGTGTGTGCATTGATGTGCGTATTTCTTTTTGCGCGACGCTTTGTTTACGCGTCCCCAAAGTGCACGTATACATGCACAAACATGCGTAGAATCTTTGTGTGTGTGAGTGTGTGTTTTGCCTTTGCTAAATACATGTTATGTATATGTGCATGTGTGTGTGTATTCAGTCAGCTGCTTTTGTGGCTTGCGTTTGCCTGTACAAAGTTTAGCATTTAATTAGCATTATATACATAAGTATGTATGTATGTATATTAAACATACCACCTGCTAAATATTGATAAGAAACAAAAGTGGCTTTAAGTCATATTTTTTTTTATTCTTTTTAACATTTTTGTTTGAGGGGCAAAGCAGAAGTACGGCAACACGATGCGCTACTGTTGCCAGCTGTTACGTGTTAATACAATTTTGTTTTTTAAATTTAACTGCAATGTTTTTATTATGTGCACGTATATATTCATTTTCAAATATTGATAATTTGTTAACATGACATATGTGCACTCAATGTGCAGTACAATGTATGTACATGTTTCTTTAGGCAACGAGTTGCCCAGCGAGTAACAGTTTCGCAGCGTTGCCACTTGGGCAATTGACTCGAAACGCCTCACAACACTGCCAAGCTCAGCTGTTTTTTTTCCACTTTGGCCGTTTCTAATTTGAAAGCATTTCCTTATAATATTTGTTTTTTTTTTTTTTGTTTTTTTTGCAGCAACCAAGCTATACAAATGCAGCGCAAAATATCGCAACGCAGACGATGGATGATGCCCGAGCTCAGCATAACAACAATAAGGGCTGTGCACAAATAGCAATTAATCAAATTAAAACCAGTGAAAAATAACAACAACAATAACAACGAACAAACAGTTATTTGAGTTAAATGTACTCTTAAACGGTTAACAAAAAAAAAAACGCGAAAAAAAGAACTAAAAGAATTGTTTAGCTTGTGGCCAATCCGTTACACATATCCATTTACAACAACAAATACAGTATCTGCCGCCATGTTCAATTTCCATAAGCCACGCGTCTATCGCTCAGCGGACGGCTGCTGCATTTGCCGCGCCAAATCGAGCAGCTCCCGTTTCACAGCCTCGCGCAAATACGAAAAGGAATCGATGCAGTGCTTCAATCTGCACGAGCCGCGCAACGGTGAAATCTGCAATGCCTGCGTCCTGCTGGTCAAGCGCTACAAGCGACTGCCCGTCGGCAGCAAGCGCCATTGGGGACATGTGAGTACAGCCAAAAGGAAGCTTTTATGCAACAGAAACTAATCCCCCCTCTCTCTCTCTCTGTCTCTATCTTTCACAGGTGGTTGATGCACGCGCCGGTCCCGGCACCAAATCGCTGGCCAAGCAGAAGAAGCGCGAGAACGAGTGTGAGGGCAAGACGGGTGGGGGCGGCTCTTTTATACCCGAGAAGTTTGCCAAGATTTTCAAAAAGAACCGCAAGGGCAAAATAACGGCTGCCGCAGCGCCATCTGCAGCCGGTCAGCAGCAATTGCCGCAGCGCAACGGCAGCAGCCACGAAAGCTCACCACACTCGGAGGAGCAGCCGAGCGATTCCAATGAAAGTCACGACGAACAGGAGCAGCAGCTGCAACAACAACAACAGCAGCAGCAACAACAACAACATCAGCTGAGCGCATGCGTTGCCGCAACACCGTATCAGACGCGCAAACGGACCGCTGCAGCAGCGCAGCTGGCCACGGCGACAGTGCTGAAAAAGAGTGTTGCACAACGTCTGCGTTTGACTGGCAGCAAGCGCAGGCGCATGCTGGAGCCCAAAAAGCATCGACGCGCCGTCGACAATGTGCCCTTCTTTGAGGAGCACGATCTGCTGCGTCTGGACGTTTGCTGCGGCACCGTGTTCCAGAGTCTTAGCCTGGGCAGCGCCTGTTATATAATCAATCCGGAGCTGTACAAGCCATGCGAGAAGCATCGCAGACGCAGGCAACAACAGCTGTTGCAGTCGCAGCCGCCGAGGGAACTGGTCCAGCAGCCGTTGCTGGCCGCGGAGCTAGAGCCAAAGCCTGTTAGTCAGAGCATCAGCACGCCGGCGTTAAAAAAGCATCATTTGTATTTTAAGCGACAATCGGAATCATTTCCACAGGGCGAAATACATAGAATAAGTCCAATTCCATTGAATAAGACTGAGGTCATGCCGAACCCAACGCCAGCCACAGCAGCAGCAACAACAACAACAACAATGATCAGTGTACAACAACAGCAACAACATTCCACAGCCAATGGCAGCTTAGCGCTCGCACTTAAACCAACACTGGCAACGGCAACGACAGCGGCATCTGTGACGTCATCAGCCTTGCATGCAAGCATCTTAACAACCGCTGTGGGCGCCGCATCGCCCTCATCGTTATCTTCATCCTCCAATTGCTCCACCTCTTCGTCGGTGGCCACCAAATTCAATGACAATTCCTCGGACTCCGGCTTCGATGAGCATGTGCTGGAGCGCAAATCCGTTAGTCCGCCAACGGTAAGTGTCAATTAAGTTCATATCGTGTTGATTATTGTCATTTCACCAGAGTCTCTGCCTAACGCTGCTATTGCCATCTCGCTTCAATGCAAGCGTCTATGCCAGCTGAGTGCATATATTGTTTACATTGAGCTACGTTCTAATGATAATAATTGTGAGCTCTTGTTGCCATCTCGCTTCGATGCACATGCTTGACCGCGACTTGCAAAAGCTTTGCGCACAGTGTTGCCAGATTTTGACAGCGTTGTTTATATTTTTGTTCAGCTATAAGCCACACTCCATTTACATGCTGTTTCTGCTTATGCCCAGGTGCTACTGTTGCCAGCCTGTTCTAATTCATATGAGTTGAACTTTTGTTTACAATGACGCTCAAACTGTTTTTTCCCCTTTTCTTTATTAACAGCAGGACGAACTGCAGCTGGAGAAGAAGGCACGCGGCGGCAGCGTGCAACGTTTAATCCTGGCCAGCGGTCTGCCCATCAGCGGCCAGGCCCAGAATCTGGTGCTGACGGGCAACGAGTTTACTGCGCGCTTCGTCCAGCGGCAGCAGGCACCAACCCAAGCGCCGCTCAAAATCAATGTGCTGGCAGGCGGAGCAGCAGCAGCTGCAGTTGGAGGAGGAGGAGGAGGAGGAGCAACAACAGCAACTGGATCTCAAAGTAGTGGCAATAAAATGCGTGCAATATTTAATAATGCGAACACAATTCAACACGAGAACGGGGTGACTACCATATTGCCGGCATCCTCGCTGGCGGCCAGCAATCAGACGGCGGCCATGAATGCCATAGCGCCCAGCACGGTGACCATAACGCCAGCCAAAAAAGCAACAATCAATGCAACAGCAGCAACATCACCTGTCAATCCCAAGTTTATACTCCTAAAGCCAGCAATTGCCAGCAAATTTGCCAGCAACAACAACAGCAGCAACAACAACAACGGCGTCAATCCGGCGCCAGCTGAGCTGAAAATAGCTTAAAAGTGGAAGAAGAAAGAGGCGGCTAGCATCATCGGCACGCCGAAGTTTAAATACCCTTGCAGCAGTGTTTAAGCTTTGTTTGTTCACATGTTCAAGTAGTCCGATTCTGATTTCATGCAAGAATGTTGTAAAAGCACACAAATTTCAATCGATTGTTCCTATGGCAGCTATATGCTATAGTGCCTCGATTCTGTTCTTGTCTAATTTCAACAAGAACTCGCTTTTAAATACTCTATAAGCATATTTAACTGTAACCTCTGCAAGGGCTATAAAAGGCTGCTTTTATGTTAAGAGAAACAAAACCAATTACATAGCCATGTTAACTGGCTGTTAAAAACTTGTTGATTTACATGCATATTGTAGCGAGTATTTACTGTAAGTGACAAAACTGAAAAAAACAAAAACAAACAAAAAAAAGAGACGCAACAAATTGTGTCCAAAATTTGTATATATTATATAGAGAGATCTATGGATATATAGCTCTAAGTACAACAACAACAACAATTCGTTTCATACATTTCACAACATTTTACATACATATATATGTATATGATTTTTTTGATTATGATTAGATTGATAGCTTGTATTTTTTTGTAAACAATTATTTTGTAAGCGCCCCCATACTCAGCAGCAATTTCTTAAACTTAAAAAATTTAATTATATTTAAATTAAACTTTACCTTAACATTTACATTAGCATTAACATTTACATAGCATTTACATTTAGTTTATGTACATTCACGCATGCACGCACACATACACTTTTATAGTTTTACATGCACTTTGCTGCGCTCTCTCTCTCTCTCTCTCTCTCTCTCCCCCCCCCCTCTCTCTTTCTCTCTCTCGCTCTTGCTTTTAGTTTAACAGTGACCGCTAGCTCGCGCAGCTTAACTTAACAGCGCGCTGTTAAATGAGCCGTCGCTATGTTAAGCCCGTCTATGTTCGTAGTTTCTTTCTTTTTTGTTTTTTTTTTTTTAAATTTTTTTTTAAAGAAAACTCGCTCTTAAGTACTTCAAATACACACAAAATGATAAGCAATAAAAATAAAACTGAAAACGTAAAAACTTAATATTAACTGAACCACAAAATGCCACAAAATGTAGCCTTAGAAAAAGCGCCTAAACAAAAAAAAAAAAACAACAATTTATTGCAACATTTGCGCAACTTTTGTGTGTTGAGAAAACTTCTATGTGACAAAAAAAAAACAAATTAAGGCAATTTTTTTCTCTAACTTTTTTTTTTAAAATCAAATAAATATAAAAAAGCGTAAATTGAATTAAGCAAAGTTCGTTTTACTTAAAGTGCTACAAAAATCCAAGAGCTTTGCATGCACCTAAAGCTTTCATGTGTTTTTAAACTTCTTCAATCATTTTCAGTGTTAGAAAATGCGCACAGAGGCTCAAAAGCTATTGAGCTTAATTTGCCTTTTGAGCTTTTATTAATGTAGAAAAGCTTTGCCAAGCTCAAGTTAAGTTTGTGGCACAGCTTTAATCAAAAGCTCTTGGGAATGTGCTTTCAAAGCTTTTGACTAAAGTAAGTAAATATTGAAAAAAAGAACAAGAAAAGTTGATAAAAATACAAACAAAACTGAAAGTTAATTAAAAAAAAAGACTTGCCGAAACCCGGGATTGAACCGGGGACCTTTAGATCTTCAGTCTAACGCTCTCCCAACTGAGCTATTTCGGCGTCTGTCGAGCAACCGGCCAAACGCGAGGAGTTGCTTGCGGCTTGTGAATCATTCGAATGCATTCGAATAATTCTGATGCCAATCATCAAATATGACTAGTTCAATTACGCGGAGATCATTAAAAACAATATAAAAAAATTAAAAAAAAAAAGTCCGTTTGATGAACTGCGCTGTGTTAAAGTGAACCCATTTCTGTTTTATTTTTTTTTTTTTTTTTATATTCAATTTTGTGTTATTTTGCACGCTTTAGTCATTTATTAGCGTGTCGTTCGGGGGTTATGCCCGTCAGAAAGTTCCTTCTGCTAATTGGACCAATGCCGTGCGGGGTCGCCCGGGTATTGTTGAATGTGGAAAGTGCCAACGGCTTGAAGAAACCGGTTGCAGTTGCCCAAGTGCCAAGGCCTGCAGCCAGCTTCTTGGGCGACCGTCGACAAGGAAACGCAATTAGAAGCTCTTGAGCTCGTAAAATACACGCGTGCATCGCCAGATATTTTAAATATGTCGCGTCCAATCAATGTATATCTCTGTTTAAATATCGCATTTATATATATTCATGATTCATGCACAAAATGCAGGTGTTTGCGGCCTGCAAATGCGTTCATAAGTGCGGTTCAACTTTTGGTTGTCAAACGAAACTGTACAGACAGGAGATGGTGGTGAGGGGGGGCCAGGGGGAGACAGGGGATAGGGGGCAGGGAGAGAGAGAGAGAGCGCGAGAGAGGTCAAATGTGAGGGAACTGAAACATGATGGGACTCAAAGTCTAGCTGTGCTTTAATACCCTAACCAAATGCAGATTCGATCTTCGTAGTAAAGGGAGGGGGGGGGGGGGTAAGGGTAGTGGGGGAGGTTCTCCCTTACTATATAACGCTTAAAGTATTTCAATTTATGCCCAAGCATGTGTCAAAATCGATAATTATCGATCATGGAAACAGCTTCTGATTAGCTTATTCTATATATATAAGTGAAAGTACGACTAGGCGACATCCAGATACCCTTCTCCTGCCAAGCGAAGCTATGAAATCTAAGAAGCTTCGCATGTTTTTAACTATTCCGGGAGTAACATGTCAGGTGTGCTAGTTCTAGACCGAACAACTTGAAGGATTTGCTCAATAAACAGAATTTCGATAACGATTTTTATCGATTGCTTGGCAACGGGTCAAGTTATCGATTATCGAAAACGAATTTGTATTAAGCGTGCGCTAGGAGAACCTAGGTTCAAGTCTCTAGCTCTTATAGGTACTGAGATCCTTGAGTTCAAAGAGACGGACGGACGGACGGACGGACGGACGGACGGACGGACGGACAGATAGACGGACGGACGGACGGACAGATAGATAGACGGACGGACGGACGGACAGACAGAGAGACGAACATGAATATACCCTTTAAATTATATGAGACTTATCGCAAGTCAAGCAGAATTGAAGTCTATAAAGCAACCGATTTTTCCCAAGATCGATTATTCAATTCGATTGTTATCGGAATAGTTTATACAAAATTTTGAACATACAATCGATTACAACCGGACCCCTTGAACGAACTAACCCACTATGCTCTATGCTAGGGTATTTGCCATCAAGGTATCTCACTGCAAACGGCAAAAAAAAAAAAAACGGGTCGAGCATCGCCTTGAGAATCGCTCAAGCAAGACTTACAACAACAGCGACGCCACCCAAAAGCCCACCCACCCACACAACGGGCCAAGAGCCCCCCCCCCCCTACCCCACCTCCCTGCCCCTCACCAGTCGACTAGACCAAACCCGTTCTTCGTTAGCACACAACGAAAATTGCATATGAAAATCGAATAAAAACTTAGCAAGAATTAGCTAAACAATTTTGAACAGCTGCAAAAGAAAAGAAATAATAATAAAAAAAAAATAAATAAAAAATTATGAAAAAAAAATTAAAGTAAAAAATAAATTTAATAAAAACTTGCCTTTCGCCCATTGGGAAACCCGTTTTGCATGTCTTCGCAGTCTTCCGTTCTCAGTCTTCGGTCTTCGGAGTTCTCAGTCTTCGTCGAGTCCCCCCCTTTTAAGCCCCTCCCCGCCCCTCACCTAAGTGCAAGTGCCCATTTAAGAAAAGAGTAGAACTGAAAAGAACGCGACGTGTACGGAAACTGGATGCGACATGCCCTTGTGCGGGGAATTACCATTTGCTAAGGACATGCGCTACAGTCGAAAGGGTCCTTTCGACACTCAGCTGCACTATGCTACAGTAAAAGCTCGCTAGCTTGAACCATGAGAAATTCCAACTAGAATTAAGTTCTTAATTTTCGTTTCTACTTCCTGCAAATTCTTAAACATATTCCGCTCTAAATTTGGGTGAAAACTTTTTGGGACATGAGTTTTCGTATGAAAAACTCAGGTGTTTTTCAGCTTTGAACGCACTTTTTCCACAGTACGGCTCAGGGTATTCCAACTTCGGTGCACATTTATAATTGAATTTAAATAGCATTAAATTAAAATGTAGCATATAGCATATAAATAATGTTTAATTTTTGTTGTATTTAAAAATAGAAACGAAAGGTGGCAATTGGCGAGCATTCACTGTACTCGCATACATATTTAGTATGTTCTGTATTAAGAGCAGAACTTTTTAGCGCCTTAGCAGCTTAGCTAGTTAATCTGATAATCGGGCAAAATTGTGAAAAAAGAGCAGAAATAAAAAATTGAAGAGTTGCCGAAACCCGGGATTGAACCGGGGACCTTTAGATCTTCAGTCTAACGCTCTCCCAACTGAGCTATTTCGGCGCTGGGTTCAAAGCGGCTTAAACGATGTCAAGTTCGCCAAGCAAGCAAACCAAAGCCAAAAGAACTCAGCTACACGAATATTAATGTAGATAAGTGTATATATATGTATATATTTATATATTAGGTATTTGTACTAGGTTTATATAGTAGCTATATGTTCTAGCGATAAGACGCTTGCTGGCCGTGGGAAATCAACGAAATATTTTGAATGTCTAATATTTTCATATTTTATTTGATATCTGATTCATTTGAGGCATTTGAGAACTACTTCTCTAGCTCTAGTTCTTGATAGTACAAGAGAATTTGAGAACTAGTTCTTTCCAGTTTATTCTAGTTCATTCAAGAGCATTTGAGAACTATTTCCACCAAGAACATTTGAGAACTAGTTCCACCTTGTGCAAGAACATTAAAGAACTAGTTCCTTCTGGCTTAAGAAAATTCGAAAACTAGTTCATCGAAGAATATTTGAAAACTACTTCATCCAAGAAAATATGAGAACTATTTTCAATAAGAACATTTGAGAACTAGTTCCACCTAGTGTAAGAACATTAAAGAACTAGGTTCTCCTAGTTTAAGAAACTTTGAGAACTAGTTTCTCCTAGTGCAAGAACTAAGTCCTTCTAAGGTATGAAAATTGTAGAACTAGTTGCTCCTAGACCAAAGAATAGTAGAACTACTTGCTCCTAGCTTAAGAAAACAAATTTTGAACTAGCTCCTCCGCTGCCTAGTGTAAAAAAACAACGATATTATTTCAGATCATAAAGTTTTCCTCAATCTTGTAAGAGCTGAAGTCGCCAAACTTGTTGCCAAAGTTAAAATCAAAAATTTGTTGTATGGTTATCTGTGACATTTTCCAACACTATATTTTGTTCAAGGTGTGTACACACTTTTTTATGCCATATTTAGGCGCTGAAATTTGCATAAAAATCGGACTTTAAACACCGAACGCAGTTCTCATGGAGTGAGTGGGAAGCAGGGTATCTGCTAGTCGGGCACTGCCTATAAGTTTGGTTGTTTTTTGTTTGTGCGCTTGTTATTTTTAACGATTTCTGCGAAAGTCGCGCAAAGAACTAACTGTAAGCGGTGGGCGTGGCAGCACGAGAGCCTCAACTGCGCGGAAAGCCCTAAAATCGTCGAGCTGCTGGCACTGTTGATGCTGATCATGATGATGACGCTGGCGATGATGCTGCTGCTGATGATGATGATGATGATGATGATGATGATGATTCAGCTAGAGTTGTTGTTTAACAATTGAGGGGAACTACGAGCAGGTGACGACAATGTTGCGTGGTTTTTACACAATCCGAACTGGTTTTCTTTTCGCCAGTCCCCCCCCCCCCCCCCCCCCCCTCTCCCACCCTTCTCACTATCCCTCACCTTTTATTTGCAATTTGTTTGCGAAGCGTGCGTTATGTGCAATTAATTAACGGACAAATATAACAAATTGTGCTTGATTTGAATATAATATTAATTTCGCTGCAAATTAATGCGACGATTTGTGCAATTTTGTCGCCTGTTTTTTGGTCGTTTATCTTTGCGCCGATCTCTGTGCGCATGTTAAACATTTGTTATTGATCCTAACACGGGCGAGAATGCGGCGCAGTCGCAGTCGACGTCGACGTTGCCGTCGCCGCAGCCGAGTCTTCTTCGCCCAGCTGCGTATTCGTCAGCCGAACGTTATCGCTCGCCGTCGTTTCATTTTGGAGGCACGGCGAATCCTTTGTTGTTACTCTATTTTTGGTATTTTTTTGTCGCTGTTTCGCTGCAAACGCACTTAATTGATGGGCCTGGCAGAAGAAGAAGAACAACAGCAGCCAGCAGCAGCAGGCGCTAAACAAAGAGAGCGCCACGCACGCTCTCTTCGCCGCGCGCGCTCTTCGCTTCGTTTCGTTTCGTTTCGTTTACTGCTGGCTTTGGCTTGCAAATTATTGTTGTCGTTGTTATTGTATTGTTAGCGGCGGCGTCGACGTCGACGCCGACGCTTGGGCTTGGGCGCAGTTTTCCTTTTTAAAAACCGACGCCGAACGAAGCCGCGTTTTAGTTCTGTTTGCAAAACGCAGCCAATTGGACGTGGCCAAGAGCAGGCAACAGGGGCAGCAAGAAGCAGAGCGTACGCGGCGAACAAATACAAACTAACGGACTTTGAATAATTTCCGTTTTCTTCTCGTGTGTTCTGTTTTCTTACAAGCAAGAATATTTGTGTGTGTTTAGCTTTTTTTTTTTCCTCATACGTTCTTGTTCTTGTTGTTTGAGTAAAGCGCCGTTATCTTCGCGCGACAATTGAACAGCGTTTGTAAAAGAAAAAAACAGCAAAAAAAAAAACACTATTTCATTGAGTGTTTCGTTCGCGTTTCAATTGAATATCATTTAACCAGTTGATTGAGAAAAATTGTTTATAATACAAATAATTCATACATACAATTTTTTTTGTTTTTGGAAAACGCTGCGCGTTTGTGTGTCAGTGCCAACAACAACAACAACTGCAACAGCAACAACAACAACTGCAACAACAACAAAGTGTAAGCATTTATTTGTAGTATGTAAAAAACGAAATTGAAGAAGATCAAAGATCGCACAGCTGAGGCCAAAGTTGAAGTTTATGAGAAGCGCAAACGCGCCCGAATTGAGGTTAGGCACACACAAAAGCTCAGCCTAGTGAACCGTTAAAGCTCGTCGCAGATCAGCCACAGCTTTCAAGATGAGCCTCCGTTTAACTGGGCGTAATCAATTGGACAATATTTAACATTCATGTTTGGGGCAAACGCAAAGCTCTTGTCAGCTTAACTAGAGTTCAAGGCAGATATTTTAGCTAGGCGTATTACGTTCTTTAATTAGATGGGCTTTACTTTGAAGACATGTAAGTGAGTGGAAGAAGAAGTGAGTAAAATACCAGAAAAATTGAGAAATTATCAGGTTATTTAAACACACAAGAGCTTAATTGAGCAAAATATTTCAAATGCTTGAACAAAATATAATATTTTAAAATTATCTTAAAAAACAAAAATCAACATAAATTATATTCTTTATTATACCCTGAACCCATTCAAAATGGGTAAACAGGGTATACTGTATTTTGTGCGAAAGCCAAATGTATGTAACAGGCAGAAGGAAGCATCTCTGACCCCGTAAAGTATATATATTCTTGATCAGCATTAATAGCCGAGTCGATCTAGCCATGTCCGTCTGTCTGTCCGTCCGTCCGTATGTATGCAAGGATCTCAGAATCTATAAGAGCTAGAGATGTAGGTGCTCCTAGTTCCCGCTCAGATCGAGTTTGTTTCCGATAATCGATAACTTACTCCGTTTCCAAGCAATCGATAAAAATCGATATCGATATCCTGTTTTTTGGGCAATTTTGTTAAATAATAAGAGCTAGAGTCACCAAACTTGGCATATAGCTTCTAAAATAGAATATATATATGCATTTGATGTTGGAAGAAGAGGGTTCAGAGTATCGCCTAGTCGGGAGCTCCCGACTAGAACCTCTTACTTGTTTTTATTATGCGCAATTCTGGCTAATCAGTTTTCAATTTCTTAGAACACAATAAGACTTGACTTCGATTTGACTTAACAAACAATGAAAAACAGCTTGAATTAAGTACAAATAGCTTGGATTAAGTACAAAATAGCAATTGTACTTAATGCAATTGTACCCAATGCAACGCATTTGGAAATGTATATCGGAATGAGGCACACACAATCAAGAAAGTCACTTTAGCTGAACTTTGAACAATTTACTTAACTTAATTTGTTGCATTTGCTGTTAAATATTTGCCAAAAGCAATGTCGCAAGTTGAGAGCAAATTATTTGTACACAAATTACAAATAAGTCGAAGACAATCAGCGATATCGAAAGCTACAAATTTTTGAGTAATATGACAAGCGCCTTATCAGCGGAAGCTGGCAAAGACAAGAAGGCCGAGAAACAATCAGATGTGCATCTGACGTCTGGAGATGTGGGGCGAGAGCACAGCAAAACTTGTTAGATAAATGATTAGACATTTGTTTGTCATTCGCATTCAAATTCACATTTGGCAATTTTAAGCAGCTTCTTAAGTGCTCTGCCTACCTCAGACACAATTGTCTGTTAGAGAAGAGACTCGTCACGAATCTGTGCACTTATCGATTACATTGCATAAGTGTGACTGCATTTGATTAACATTCGATTCATAATTTATATGTTTTTGTTAATTTCCATCAGCTAAGTGAAATCGGCGGGGAAAGTGAAGTTGCGGCGCAATCAATTTCAATAGCCAATCAAATAGGGCTTTATTTTTGCTCGATATGTTAATCGATAACGATATTCTCAGCGTTGATTTTTTGCTTAATTCATTTAAATGAGGTGAATGTGAAATGCAAATGTTGAATTCTCATGTAAACCAGCTGGCAATTGCATCACTATCGATATGCTAAGTAATCGGAATCGAAGTGAAACGTTGCATATATCGATAACAAAAACGTTTCTGAATGGAATGGAAAGATACTGTTATCGGAAAGATATCGATATGAATCTTCAACAGATCGAAAGAATCGAATGTATTACAAAAATCGATAGGAATATGCTGAACCCCAGTTACCTGCATTAATCTAATTGAAATACATGAATTCTCTGGCAATCGATTGATAATAATCGATATATGTATGCCCAATATATCGAAAAGTAATCGAATAAATCGAAATGTTCCGAAATGTTCTATACATAACTGAATCTAAATAGAATGTTTAATTGTAAAAGGTGTGTATATATATATATCGAAGTGCTGACTGCAATATAAATTATCGATATAAATAATCGCTGTTGAAATACGAATGAAATGTGAAATGGATCTGCTATTTCGATTGGATGTTCATATTCCGATTGAATCGATAAGGAAGCGAATAGGACGGAAATACTATCGATACGCTGTAATCGAAATATCGAACAATCGATATCGTTATCGATACTCTAAAATGAATCCGAAATGATCAGAACGGGTGTGAAATGGAAATTGACGTAAATTTGGAGTAGATATTCTAGTATACGATGTGAATCGAATAGAAATGAAGTACTATCGATATACTGTAATCGAAATATTGAATAATCGATATCGCTATCGATATACTAAATTTAAGCAAAAACGATAAGCACGTTTATATTTAAACTATTTATCTTTCACTAAACCTAAGCCAATTAGGACAAATAGAATGAGCATTAATTAGACGAGAGATCGTTTATTTATCAGAGAGTCGCCCATTTATGATATATTAGAAAGGCCTAATGATTAAATAGTTGAGTTCTTTCTAATTTGTTTGTGGATTATGCGACATTATGTGATGCTAACAAAAAGTGACAGCAACTGCATTCCGAACTAATCGACTCTAATTGCGGGAACAATCCATTTCAATAGATGTCAAATGAGATTCCATTTGCAAATTCGCACAACCTCTTACTTTTCTAGTTAAATAGAAAACAACAACAACAACAACAGATCATTAGAGCATTAGATGCCTAATTGATATTAGATACTCCCTTGCCGCCCAGGTGGCATAATTATTAGCACAGTACCCAAGAAAAGTACTCGCACACACTAGCTGCCCCGGCTCGGTCCGGTTTCTAATTATGATAGTTCAACAATTAGAGCTATACCTGAGTCTTGTTGCTGCCCAGATATGCATCGAACTGCTAGTTAACTATCTGTCTAGCTAACTGTGGCATTTATCGATAATTTATTGACCCGTTCGCGATCAGCAGGTGTGCACTGTTCCTCGGTCTGTCGGTCGGGCTATAGGGTCTGCACTCTCAGCTCTGAATAATTATATTTTAATTAAGTATAATTAATGTCTCTATTTTTCTTGTTGCCTTGCCTCATTTAACTTGACATTCTCAATATTGGTTTCTAATACACTTGTCAAACTCTGTGAGTATAATTTTGACAGAGTCCAGACCAACTGAACTAACCTCTCCGCTTGTCTAGACTCGGAAAACTTGGTACAGATGCTGCGGGGCCTTAAAGGAAGCATATTGTAAGAGTTCACAGTTAAATACTTTCAGGAATTTTGCAGAAATATTGACCATATTAAAAAAACGCACAACTCTAACCAAACAATTTTGTATGGATATAGTTAAATTCTTTATTTAAGAATTTCTTATAAAGAAATCTTTCCAGCTGCTCCGATTTACATTTAATATTACCAAATTCAGACCAAAAATAAGGAATTTAAAAAATTGAAGAATTGCCGAAACCCGGGATTGAACCGGGGACCTTTAGATCTTCAGTCTAACGCTCTCCCAACTGAGCTATTTCGGCGCTGGGTTCAAGGCGGCTTAAACTAGTTCAAGTCCTCCATGCAAGCAATTCGATGCACTCGTGTCATATTACTCTACAGTCTATACACAGAAGCCCCAGCGATAAGAACTTATGTTTGGCTAATCTTTTTTTTTGCATGTTCTACACCTAGAAATAGACAAAAAGTTCAGCCAGGGGGTTGAGATAAGGCTAGGTAAAAGTTTTTTAGTTTTTTTTTAAATATAGAGAGATAGATATAGATATAGATATAGATAAATTTGAGTTCTCCTTAATATCTTGCCCTTAAAGTCTCCAAAACTGGAATAGACGTAGCTCTGCCAGTTGAGCTAGGTCAAAAATAGAGAAAAGCTCTCGCCCTCTTGCTTTAAAAGTTCAAATTAATTAAATAATAACCTCTAGTTCATATGACTTCTGCTCACCTGCCTGATTAGGGTATACACGCTTCGCTGTGCCTTGGCAAGACGTCTTTTCTTGTTTTTCTGCGCTTTTGTCGTCCGCCTTGATTTGCATTTGTGGAACATGCGCAGACGTCGTAATTGGCCCGTAATTCGGGTTATACCGATTCACAGATCGACTCGATCGACTTGAGATGCGATTAGAACTAAGCAAATATGCGATATATATGTGCAATGTCGGGCATGACTTGTGCTTTTTCTACATTAATATCTCTCTCATTCTCTCCTTCTCATTATCTCCCTCTCGCTCTCTCTCTGTGTGTGATTCACTGACTCAGTTCTTAACTATAAATTTATGCAAATATCGGGCATTTAAGCAATTAATCGCCCTTTAAGTAAAATGTACCCTGAACTAAAACCCGTTTATGCCTCGCTCTCGCACTCTTTCCCTCACCCTCACCCTCTCCCTCTTTCTCGCTGTGTCAGCGTTGCCATCAGGTTTAGCATATAAGGGTTGCCACGTGTTCACGATTTCACAGCTTATTCACACCTGTTGACAGTTTCCAGTTCCCCCTTTCAGCAAAAACCCAACTCTATCTTTCGCTAAATATAGATTTTATTCTGTGATCTACAAGCTGAGCTCTTCGAAAAGTTTGTTTTTTTTTTTTTTTTTAAATCATTTGGATGCAAATTTCGTAGTATTTCATCTTTTCGATTTGATATTTGCAATCTTTCCACTGACTGTTTGTTGAATTTGTGATCGGTTACATGTATATTATATACTTATATTCAGTGGAAAGTCAAGTGAGCATCTGTGATCTAATCCAACTTGTTTTA